TCCTTGAACAAGGGGAAGTGCGTCACAAGATATTCCTTGGCCTCTTGGTAGTGTCGCTCCAGGACTTCCCTGTGGCGGTCGCTCCGGATGGTGATGTCGCACTTGTAGGGGTTGGGCCGGATGTTGAAGCCGTCGGTGTAGTCGTACGTGTCGTACACGTAGCCCTTGGTCGGGCGGATGTCGAAGCACCACAGCAGACATGCCAGGGCGATATACAGGTTATTTGAGGCCAGGTCGGCGCCGGGGCAGATGCGACGACCCCAGCCGAACGTCGAGTGGCCGGATTTTGAGGGGTGGGGAGCGCCGCGTTCCAGTGGCGTGGACGCGAGGTACTCCTTGGGCAGGTAGCCCAGTGATGCTGGGTCCTCGGCGTCGAGGAAGCGAAGCGGGTTGAAGTGGTCGGCGTTCGGGTAGTACTGCTCGTTGCGGTTGATGGCCCAGCTGTTCCCGAGGATGTTGGTGCCTTTGGGGATGTAATACCCGTTGTAGTTGTCCGGTTCGGTGCTCGCGTGCGGTGTCCCGCCGAGAACGGCGACTGGACGCCAGCGAAGGGCCTCCTTGGCAATGGCTCTGATGTACGGCAGGGAGGCTTCGTCCGTGTAGCCTGGCAGGCGGTCTTGACCGATCACCGCATCGAGCTCGGCGTGCGCTGCCGCGAGGACTTCTTGGTGGGTTATGATGCCCAGGATGGCGGAGGAAAGAGTAGACGAGGTGGTGTCTGCGCCAGCCCCAAACACCGAGGCAGGCAAACTGGCAAAGTCCCTCTCACGCAGCAGGGCGAACGCCGAAGGGTCTGCGGCGCGGTTTTCCAGGAGCTGCTTCGCCAGACTGTTGGGGAGCGGTGGAGCACCGGGCATCTTTGCGTTTTCGATATCCTCGCGGACGTAGTTGAGCAATTGGGCGTTTGCCTCCTGTTCCTCTCTTCCCCAGGATTTGATCTCGCGTTTCCACGGTGCCAAAGCATCGGGGACATGTTTGAGGAAGGGCAATGACTCGACGAGGTACCGACCGGGGACGTTGAGGGAAGCACTCCAATGCATGATCTTCATCCGTTGGCGTATGATAGGTGATTGCATACTGTCGATGCGGTGTCCGTAGGCGATGGTGAAGACGATCGAAGCCGTGAAGCGGTTCAGAAGATTGTCCAGGTCATCCGGCTGCTCGAGGAGATGGTGACAGAGACGTGCGGCTTCGGCCTCCTGGACAGGTTTATAGTGTTGCAGCGCTTTCTGAGTGAGCACGCTGTGCAGGGCTTTCCGACGCACGGACCAGTCCTTGCCGTACGGTTGCACGAGGATGCTGCTCATGTCCCAGAAGATCTCGCCCATGGTGACGAAACGGGGTCGTGAGCTGTACTTGTGGGAGCGCTTCTCGAGCAAGTCGACAGCCACATTGGGATCGGAAATGATCACAGTTGGACGTCGGCCGAACCACAGGGTGTAGATTGGTCCGTACTTCCTCGACCATTCCTGGAACTGAATCCACGGATACTTGGCTGGAATGTCGAATTTGTTGCCAATGAGCGGTAGAGGCTGAGGGCCCGGAGGCATTCGCTTCCAGAGTATGACATCGTGGATCACAACACCAAGCACGCCCAGGAACAATAGCCCCGTCACGGCCGACCAGATGTAGAAGATGGTAGACCAGCTCATCGTTACTGGCAGTCTGGCAGCACCAGTGGTGGTATGTATCTCACTTCAATCCCTGTCAGATATACTCACTCGATCCTGGGCCTGCGTGACCGCCTATTGGATTCAGTAAAGCAGTAACAAACAACGAGAATCAAAACTCACAGCGGTAAAATAGTTCCTTCACGAATATTCCGTGGAGGGAGCACAGAAAGAGAGAATGCAGAAAATTGGGGAGGCACCGGAGCATCGCCGTCACCAACCGTTGTATCCCCCTCCACCGCTTCGGGATGCCAGGCTGCGCCTAACACACTTCTTCTAGGTTAATGGCACGCTCGTCATTGGCGGGAAAGAGACGTGCCACATCGACGGCGCCGTCTTTCGTGGAGAGAAGATTCGGCCTTCGTGGGGCGGCAATGCTTGTGCGGAGAAGGCCCATCGCTCGCCAGAGCCCGGCTATGGTCGAGATCTTCGGCAGTTGATGAGTGCTGACAGGGCACCGGAAAACCCCATCTCAAACTTCCATTGTCGACATGCCGTGCATCAATTCCCGATTTGGACAGTGGATGGTACTGGTGGCAATTCGCTTGTGGGAAAGCCATGGGGAGAGTCGATGAAGCCTGGGGCCGAGAGAACATGGGGGACCAGACATACAACAGCCTGCATCTAGCTGATCAGGAACCCTTTTGTGCCGACTCTACAGAAGGATCTCCTAGGTCTGATTTGTCATCTTCGTTCGTTAACAAAGCATTGAGGTAAAAACAGCATAGAAAGATGCCCAGCTTCGCAAGGCTACCGCCCTCCGGCATCAAGGTGATCATCGTGGGAGCTGGATTTGCTGGACTATGTGCGGCCATAGAATGTGATCGAAAGGGCCATTCTGTAATATTACTCGAGAGAGTACCTGAATTGAAGCCCTTGGGGGATATCATTAGCTTCTCATCAAACTCCGGTCACATCTTTGAACGATGGGAAGGTGTGGTTGACGAGCTTGAACCAATCAGCCACCATAGCGAAGGGCTCGACTTTTACGATTGGAAAGGCAATTTTGCTACGAGGCAAATATGGGATGTCGAGAAGCAATGGGGAAGACGCATCAATGGCCACCGGGGGGAGATCCATCATGTTGTCTTCCAGCATGCCAAAGCAAGGGGGATTGACATCCGACTCGGTCAACAAGTAACTGATTATTTTGAGACCGACACAGAAGCGGGTGTGCTCGTGAACGGCGAGAAGCTGGTGGCCGATTGTGTGTTTGCAGCCGAGGGTGTGAAGTCGGCGGGAAGGAAGATTGTGCTGGGGTTCGAAGATCGACCGAAACCCTCAGGATATGCTGTATATCGATCCTGGTTTTCATCTGATGATCTAGCCAAGAATGAGAGAACGAAGCATTTGGTGGTGAACGGCGATAGTCATTCTGGATGGGTAAGCAGGTTGCTCTTATACTCGGTGATTCCGTCTCTGACTTTCACTTCAGATTGGCGAGGACAAGCATTTCCTCGCTGCATCAATAAAGAATGGCACAGAGTTTAGCTGGGTTCTGACACACAAAGATGATGCGGACATTGATGAGGATTGGCAATTCCCTGGTGACAAGGAGGAAGTCAAGCGGAACTTGCAAGGCTGGGCCCCTATAGTCCACGACATCGTCGACGCCACCCCTCCAGATCGGCTCGTCGATTATAAACTGGTCTTTCGAGATCCATTGCCGACCTTCATCTCCCCCAAGGCTCGGATTGCACTGATCGGTGATGCTGCACACCCTTTTTTGCCAACATCAATCCAAGGAGCAAGCCAATCAATGGAGGATGGAGTGACTCTGGCTATCACACTCGAGAAGAGCGGCAAAGACAATGTTCCTCGGGCCATTCGTGCCTATGAAGCCATCCGATATGAGCGTGTCCACCGGGCGCAGAAGACTGGTATTACGACGCGAGAGCAGTGGCACAAGGCTGACTGGGACAAAATCTGGAAGGATGTCAAGTCTCTGCACTTGAAGCGCGAGGCGTGGCTCTTGGATTTTGACGCAGAGAAACATGCGTATGAGGTTGTTAACGATGTGCTGAAGAAGCTGGATCGAGGCGTGTCGGTCAAGAGTGACAGCGTGTCAGAGGCATTGGCTTCGAATGGAGTGCAGACGATGCTTGCTCAAGAGATTGACCAGCTGGCATAGAGGATGTGACGCAAGCAGCAGCGGCAGTAGTAAAAGCAGTAGTGTTAACCATGTATTGTGAGCGAAGGAACAAGTACGAGTAAATATGATTGAGTCGGGCAATTCCCGCAGGCAGATGCTCGATGCGGCTCTTCTCACTTTGTCCACCCAAGTCTTATTCTGACTTCTTGATTGTCACTCTTCTACTATTGCAACCATCTGCGCTTTACATATTGCTTCTGCTGCTATCTGCTAGGTCTCCCTACAACTACCTTCTGAATGACTCATCTACAGAGGAAAATGTTGCTGTCGACGCAGATCGTGTATTTTGGAGCCGCCAAATTGGTCTTCAGCTCTATACCACCCCTTACCTGACGCACATCCTCCAGGCAAGGAGAATGAATCGCTGTCGAACAAAAGCACGTGCCAATGTGCGGTCAGTGTTGGAGGGAGCGCTACAAAGGCACCTACACTAAACTCAAGCTACATTCCCGCCTATGTTCTAAAGGCAGAAATGCCTGGGATGCGCGGCCGACACGAAGCTGAGATGTGCCTCCACACTTCCAGAGGCAGCTCAACTGCCGGAATATTGTCGCAACAAAGACGTCCTCGGAAAACTAAGTGTCGCTGTCGTGAAAAAGAGATGGAATTCCACCCAAGTCATACAAGAGTGATGGACGACAGTGCACCATCCGATGATGAACCCCACCATACCCCAGTTGGTCGAGCTGGGGTAGATGCAAGTCCTAATGCGTCCACTGCGTCTTGATCAATCAAAGTACGCCAGAGTGCACCGCCGATCCCAATGTTGACCTGGCATATGCCTGGCACCCCTCTTGAATGCTCGTCAGTGGGAGTATTCCGGTATCCCCTGCTATTCCCTTTCTCGATATTGCTGTGGTGCACTCTTGAATTGAGACGATTTAGGTGCATGAGAAAGGCTTGATGCCACTAACCTTCTATGCACCACTTCCAGTCCCCTCGCCTCGTGTCTATTGGTGTGTTACACCGTGGGACGGTCAGTCTTCGCCTGTTTCTCTCATATGTGCAGAAAGTTGCAGGAAATCCGACGCCATCATAACAACCTTTGCGCCCAAAAGTGCGGAGGGTTTTCGGACATCGTCCAGTATTTAAGCTGAGCTCGCCCAAGGGTAGAGAGAAGTCTTTTCCTCCCAGCCTTGCCACTGGCATTCACATCGATAGCGTCATTTTTTTTCAACATGCCGTTCGGAATCCTCGACTGCAAAAAACTGGAAAATGTGCCTGGCACATCTTTCATGAGCGATCAGGATGACCTACCACCGGAGTACGCAGAGGTCCCGCGAGAGCTGTTGAAGCATGGCAAGGGCAGGTTTTCAAATATCATCTTGATTCCTCAACCGTCGGACTCTCCCAACGATCCCCTGAATTGGCCACAATGGAAGAAGGAAATGATTCTCCTCATCGTTTCACTCTCCGCTGCCGTCGTGGGCGCGTTCGGCCCCATGTTGAGTCCTGGTTTCGTGGAGATCTCGGCTCAACTTCACATCACCGTTGAAATCCTGTCCCAGGCTACCGCGTGGTTGATCCTCACCATCGGACTCGGACTGTTCTTGACCAATCCTCTGGCCAAGATATATGGGAAGAGGCCAATCTATATTCTTGCGAGCTGCATCATGTTCGCTTGTTCTGTTTGGGGTGCAAAGGCTGGCAATTATAGCAGCTTTCTAGCTTCCAGGGTCATCAGTGGCGTGGGAATGGCGCCGTATGAGGTATTCGAGACGCAACACTGGGATGCGAATTGTGCTAATCGCGTTAAACATAGGTCCTTGTCCAATGTACAATTGGTGACCTTTACTTTGTTCATGAAAGGGCTACCCGAATCGCAGTGTGGAATTTGTTTCTCCTGACAGTATGTCTCGATGAATACCAACATATCTGTCTTCCCAAAGGTGTTGTGGACTGACCCGACGTCAGGGAATCTCTGGTGGCGCCTTAGTTGCTGGATACATAATCGAATATGACGGGTACCAGTGGACCTTCGGAGTATGCGCCATCATGTTCGGTGTGCTCATGTTCGCTGTATTCTTTCTTGTCCCCGAGACCACGTATCGCCGAGACGCTGTCGTGGTGGTACCGGTGGCAGATACCGTCGACACTGACCCCGAGAAGCCGGGTGTGCAACATGTCCACATGAAGTTGGGACACGAACATGACATCTCTCAAGCTCGTGGAGAGAAGGACAAACATCTGTCTTACACAGTCACACGTGGTTCGAACGAACCCAAGATGTCGTTCTCGCGGTCGCTGAGGGTTTTCACTGGCCGATATAGCTATGCCCCGATCTACAAGATCTTTACCCGGCCGGTGTTGCTCTTCTTCTATCCGGCGGTATTTTGGGGTTTCCTCATGTATGGCACCACCTTGACTTGGATTGTGGTATTCTGTAAGTGCTTGGCTTGGTTCAGACGTTTCTCAGATCGATCAAGGCTAATTCGTTATCTGCAGCTGTGGTCAATGGAGTGATATTGTGAGTTTCCCGCAGCTTTTCGTATTTCCGGACTCAGTCGACCCCTGACGAAGGCTGACCGAGATTTGCAGTGTCGCTCCGCCTTACAACTTCTCGGTGTCGCAAGTCGGGTTGATCAGCTTGTCGCCATTTATCTTGACGTTAATCGGAGAGGTCATCTCTGGACCCCTTAACGATGCAATTTGTCTCTACTTGACCAAGAAGAACAAAGGAATTTACGAACCTGAATTCCGACTGGTGCTCATCATCGTTGTCATCATCCTCGGCACGGTTGGATTCTTTGGTTTCGGGGCGACTGTGCATTACCAGACGCACTGGCTGGGACCAGTCTTGACATTTGGGTTTGCGAATATGAGCCTGGCCTTTGCATCGACCTGCGTCTTTGGTTACGTGATCGACTCCTACCCCAAGTTGAATGAGGAAGCATTCGTTGCAATCAACGCCCGGAATCTCTTGACCTTTGGCCTGACATACTTTGTCAACAATTGGCTAGCGCGAGATGGCCCCTTGGAGGTATTTTGCATTCTAGGAGCTCTCTTCTTGTTTGTTTGTCTCTTGACAATCCCTCTCTGGTGAGTTTTCGCATTGACAACGGACCTGGCAATATAGAAACTTCACAAGGCTGACTCTTGCACAGGATATATGGCAAGAGAATTCGATCTCGGATTGGTCGGACGGCCTGGCTTCAACGGTATATGAATGACGACTTCTAAGACCGGGGTGCTGGGGGCCACCTAGGATGACAAATAAATCTTCGCTACTGAAGACTTCCGTGGTGCCCGTGCCATGGGGCCATGGTGCTTAAGTGGCGCGGCTTTTCAGAAATTACCGAAAAGGGGTTCTTCGCAGCAACAACAATGACAATCCAACATCTCAACACCAAGCAATAATAAAATGGTCAAAGGGACCTTCCTCTTCGAGCCTTTGAGCAGAAATCTCCTTCGCTTTTTCCCTCGCGTGCGGCTTCAGTGCGCGTCGGACGTGGGCTGTGGCTGTATGCGCAGCCAATCATGCCGCAGCCGAGATATTTAGATGATGACCCTGTTCCACTCCGCCACGTTCGTGTGACGCCCACGGACGCCTTGGGAGGGACGGCGAAGATGCCCATGGGTGCAATCAGACTTGATCAGCGCCCAGAGTTTTCAGGCCTCCTCATGGGGGGCTGTTCGCTGCCAGCTGCCAGCCGCCTCGACCATCATTCTGGCTCTACTTGAGCGGTGTTGTGTCACGGATGTAGGAGTATACGAGGAGATAGGAGGGGCGTCTCTAGACTTGATGCTAGTGATCGCTGCAGCCCTAGATTATTATAGCAATGGAGCCTCCTACGCCTCCCTTCCAGAACCTCCACTGGTGAACCGTCGAGCCGTCTACCGGGTCCTTAGACATGTATTATTTAATCAAAAACCCGGCCTTAAGCAGGCATAGTCGCTTCACGAAACAATTCCCGCAGAATCCTGCTGAATGAACCATCTTGTCAGGGCCTGAGAAGCCAAAAGTCCGCCGGCCGCCACAAGCCCGTATTTGGTTTCCCGGATAGACTTCCATCCATTTCCCCTCCGCTACAAGGCCAGGGTTATTATTCGCCTCCAGCATATCCTGGGTTCGCGAGGGCGTGCGCTGGCCTTTTCCCGGTTCAGCTTCTTGTCAGCTTTGGAAAATTGGAACCTGGGGGAAGCGGTTGCCCTACTACTGCATAAACCCCCGTCACAGCTGGGCCTGCGCAATCTGACAACCTTCTGCCTGCGATTTCTTTGCAGCTTTGATTGTTGTTGAACCCAGACAGAAACTACATCCAAGACTTGTCCTCAAACAAACGCAGCCGTCGTCATCGTCTTCCGCGAATACCTTGACCTCACCTCTAGCCTCATACCGGTGCCTCGAGTGCGCCAACCGTCGCCATGATGAAAAAGAAATCTGTCTATACCAACATCACCCCGATTCCCTCGCATATCCCCCGTCAACTGGCCATTGACATGCTGCACAGTCATGGCGAGATTATCGAGCTGAACCCCCTCGTCACCGGCTACAAACCCATCAAAGCCCCTCAGAATGCGCCCGCCGATGAATTCTTCTCCACGTGGTACGAAATCAATGAGAGGATCCAGTACGTGCCAGGGATAGGAAGAGCGGGATCAGGCAAGATATCCTTCAAGGGCTGCTTCCATGATATGCCGTGGGGTCTACAGACACATGTCTACGCGCCCATGGGCGTAGACTTGCGCAACAAGTGGCAGATTCGGGGCAATCAACCAGGCGAGCCACCCGAGTCGAGAGAGCTGGGAAGCAATGCCCCTCCCGAGGGTCTTTATCTACGTGAGGACATTGAAATCAAATGTAACCCGGCCATGGTGTCGTTTGTCAAGAAGGAGATGAAGGCCGCCTCGAAGACCATGGTCGACCGCTTGGTGAAAAAGGCCGAACTGATCGACGCTGGCGTGCTGAGTGCCATGATGGAAGACGGCAAACTCAAGACGCTGAATCCTGCAGATCGCTCCCAGACATTCCAACAACAAGGCCATTATTCTCCGTCCATGCTCTCTCCCCTTCCGCAATCCGCTTTCCCTCAATCCCCGGCTGTCCCGGCGTTTCAACAGTCGGCATATGCAAGACAATCCATGTACGGCGCTCCCGGCCCACAATACTCACCAGCACCGCAGAGCCAGGGTCTGGCGATTGAAATGGAGGGAAGTACGCATTTCATCCAACCGCCACCGCCTCAGCAACATCAACAACTGCATCCCAACCGGTTCTCGTCGGCAGTCTCTGAACTGTCTGCCAGCTCTCCAAACCAAAGCGACTTCCCACACACTAGCAGCCAGTCAGACCGGCAAAGCTATGCCGAGTCTGTCAGTTCGATGCCGAGCTCTGTCGCCCACAACGGCATGGTCTCGCCTGGCATGGAAAAACGAGCATTCATGGCCGAATTACCAGCAGGCATGGCACATGCGCCCAACAGATCGCCTCGGAGCCCAGACCCAAACGCTATGTCAGCGCAAGCTCAACAGCAAATGGCACAACAACAGTACCGATACAACCCTCAGGACTACGCTCGGATGTCATGAGCGGAGACCTTGTGTATCGACGAGTTTCTTTTGTGACGATCTTTGGATAACTGTATATCGAAGGCGTTCTAAGTTTTGATCAACGAGCCTAGTCAGGCGGAAGACGACCTCGGGGAGCTTGATCACTTGATATCGACCAGGAGTCATGAGCAGCGACGAGGGATACCGCCTGCTCATGTTGCGCGAGCGATTGTCAAGTTACGTGGCCGAGGGTCGACAGGGCTATCTGCAGCCATTCCGCTAGACCTACAGATAGTCACCGCATGGCGTCTACCTACTCATGATCTAATACGAGACACTAGTCTCTCACTTTCAGACTTCTCAGCTCAGAGGAGCAGACAGTTCGACTGGAGTATCTGGTCAATACGGTCACTCACTTTATCTTTCGAGACGACTTACAGAAATGACTGCCCATCTGTCCTTTCTAGACCCCACAACCAATACCCCTCCCACGAAGGGAGTTTTGACGAAGTTGCTTGGGATATCCTTTTCTGAGTCGCGGCATGGCGGATGAAAGCGGTACTTATGTTGATATGGCACTTTGAGATAGCGACTTCTTTGCAATTTGGAGAAATGGAGTAACGAGAGCATGTCCGGGAATGTGATGTTGGGAATTGGGCTGATTTTGAGCCATATACCACTTGGACAAATCTAGATGCGTTGGAGTCTGGCAATGATTCCTCACCTGACCCTGTCATTACTCTTTCATGATAGTTGGTTCCTACACGCAGCCTTGTTGCAACCATCCCAATCTTGTTCAGCCTTGTCCCTCAGCCTTGTCCTTGGCAAGCCAACGAAACCCCTTGTCACGTGTCTCCTCGGTTAACCTCGGTTTTCCCTTTGCAACGACGTCGTCTTCACGACTGACTCGATTTCTGGCCTTGCAGTCGAGATTCCCGTATATGACTCGGGGCGGAGTGACTAATGCCTTATATGCAGAAGTTTATCCTGGACATCTGGGGCATTTCGATTTCTTGTACAGCATGTGTTGAACTTTTGTCCTTTGCATTCTATTTCACGAAAGAGAACGGTGTCTACATAGGCACTGACTTCGATAAACTATGGCTTGAAGAATATCCTGGCACTTCAGATCGAGATGTTCCCCTGAAGCACAGCTTTAAGAAATGCTGTCACGGCGACTCACTGCAGTTAGGGTGACAGCCTGTCTGATGGACACTGAATGAAGACTGCCGTATTGTACACTTTGGTCGAAATTCGCGAGAAGAGATGGCTTGCTGTGTGTTTACCGCATACTTCATGAGCCACATCATCAAGGCGTGCGAGCTCTTCGACATTCGCCTCGTCGATATCAAGTACAACGATTCCGATCCCGACCCATATGCTCCTCCCAGCTTCCAACCGTACATAAACCCGGGCCAGGAGGTGCCGGCAGCAGCTCCCAGAGGCGATACCATCCCAAGGCAAGGGGAGAAACTCCAAAATGAACCTCTAACAACGATTCGCTTGTTGATCACGGGGATGACCTGCTCCGCTTGCGTATCAACCCTGAGCCACGCATTGGCATCTGTCCCAGCTGTCATCCGAACCAACGTGTCTCTGCCACTGTCTCGAGCCACTGTGATCTACGATGCCACCAAAACGTCAACAGCGGAGTTGGTTTCGGCCGTTGAAGACGCAGGTTACACCGCCGAGGTGCTTGGACAGCACAATCGTGGGTCTGCCGCCCAGAATCTCAAACTCGTTCGGCGGGAAGAAGAACTGCAGGCTTTGAAGAAAGCTTTCAATGGGGCAGCAAAGTGGGCTACAGCTATTGCTATTATTGATTGGGTGAGGAAGGTCTCCATGACAGCCCAACTCAGGAACGCCCTGGATCCGCTCCTCTGCCTACTCACGCTTGTCATTGGATGTTACGTCCAACTTGTGCATGCGAGTTGGATCCATCGCAATGCGTGGGCAAGCTGTTTCTCTCGACAACGGCTGCAGCTTCCGAGCCTGTCCATGGACACTCTCTTGTCTCTGTCACTGCTGCTGAGCATTTTCCTTTCATTCTTCAACATTTTCCTCCATGGTCTTTCTGATGTCGACACCAAAACCTATTTCTCCTCGGCATCCTTTCTTGCAGTGGTAATAAGCGGGGGCCGGTATCTCGACGTGACGCTGCGGAGACAGGGTGCGGCTGGGCTCGCCCGTCTCTTTCGGTTGCAGTCAGAAGTCGAATTAGAGACTGTATTGTTGGAGGGGCGGTTGCATGGTTGTAATACCGAATCAGATGAGAGAGGCGAAGCCATACTGACTCGGATTCCCACAAATCTTCTTGAGCCGTTGGACACATATCATATTTCGGCTCAAAGTCTCATCCCGTGTGACAGTTACGTGGTGCGTGGGACGTCTTTGGTGGATGAGGCGAGCATGAGTGGCGAGTCGCTCCCATCGCGCAAAACAGTTGGTGATTTCCTCATGTCGGGGACTCGCAATTTGTCTGCTGAACTCGTCGCTGTCGTGCTAAAAGACCAAGCAGACTCGAGTCTCGAGAGACTTGTGGCAAGCGTTGAAGCAGCAACGGAGCAGAAGTATGATCGCGCACAGAACAGCGTGGGTTCGGACGATCAGCCAGGGATAGCAACAGAAGATCTCATCACGAGGTATTTCGTCGCAACGATCCTTGTGCTGACCATGTTGGGCTTCGTATACACGTTTGTTTTCACGGCAGACTCACTGCCGATCACTGATCGACTCAACCTTGCATCGGAGCGAGCAATGGCCATTTTGGCCTCGGCTTGTCCATGTGCCATTGGCTTAGCGACGCCTTCGGCGATTATGGCCGGTGTCGACGTGGCGTATGCGTCGGGAATTCTTCTCCCAGGCGGAGTGGAAGCTTTCAAAAACCTATCTCTCTTGACGCACGTGGTGATGGACAAGACAGGAACATTGACAGAGGGCCGACTGCGGATCTCGCATGAGACCTTTGCTGAGCCATTTGACACGGATCAGGGGAAGAGGGAGTTATGCTACAGCCTCTTGAGCGCTGCGGAGAGGGAGGTCTCACAAGCGCACCCCGTTGCTCGGGCGGTGTTTCAGTGGTGTGTCAGACAGCTTCTTGCAGTGCCGCAGTTTAAGGAGGGTCGTGGCAGAGAAACTGAGCCAGGTACTGCACCAGTCAGGAACGTGTCCAGCATCACAGGCAAGGGTGTGTACGCAGAAGTCCAGGGGGCGGCTATGGCGTGGTACACTGTGCATATTGGCAGCAGCCGTTTTCTCTCTGAGAGTGGCATTTCCATCACCCCGGCCGCCACAGATCAGTCTGGAGCCGCCAGAGGAACAACGGAGGTCTACTTTGCCATCGACGGCAAGTACGCAGGTTCCTTTACGCTGCAAGATACCATTCGCCAGGGAGCCCCCCAGGTTATCGAATCGCTGAAGGCCCTGGGTCTGAAGTTGACCATGCTAACGGGCGACTCGGAGACGGAAGCACATCGAGTTTCGTCGCAGTTACAGATACCGGTCCTTGCCGCCAAATCTTTACCCCATGAGAAGAGGGAGTTGGTTGTGTCGGTGCAGTCACAGCGTGCTTGTGAAAGCAAAGGCCAATCTAAGAGAGGTGTGAGCAATGGTATTGGTGTACTCGACGTTCTTGACTCGGTCCTACGACTATCCTCCGCGAAGAAAGGCGACAGAAGTGTTGTGGCGATGCTGGGCGACGGTTTAAACGATGCACCCGCCCAAGCTGCGGCGGATGTTGGCATTCTCTTCTCCCTTTCGCCCTTGTCCGGTCGTCGCCCAGACTCAGCATCGCTGGCACTGGGAACCTGCGCTGCCGACGTGATCATCATGACACCCGATCTAGGCGCCCTGCCCAAGCTGATGACGATTGCCACCCAGACGATGGCCCAGGCAAGGTGGAACATGTACTGGGCAGTGTTTTATAATGTCTTTGCGATTGCATTGGCCATGGGCGGCAGCGAGCTTTTGGGTTTTGGGACGGTCGATGCGTCCACGGCGGGTACGATGATGGCCTTGTCGAGCGTTACCGTATTGGGGATGAGTTTGGATCTGCGGCGACGGTTACAATGAGAGCGGCGTCATGTCATACCCTCTTCATCCTGCTCTACAGCCACCGAATGGCAATTGGTCAATACTTGCGAGACAGTGTGCGAATGACAGGTCTGGGACAATGAGACGACAGGACAAAGGGAAAAGGGAAAAGAGAAAAGAGAAAGAGATCTGCAATGTGCCCACATAGTCGTTATCTACGAGGTACAATTATAGTAGCAAATTGCATATCAGTGTTGACGACCGTCGACATTACTTTTTGCCTCATGCCTATATCTCACTCTTACGTAAGAGTATGTATGCCTATGCCCATGCCCATGCGCTTTATGTGGAATGTGGAATGTAGAATGTAGAAGCTGGGATTTGCCCGACGATCACAACGACTCTCTCGATTTCCTGGCGCGTGCCTATCAAGCTATGTACGGGAGGGTTCTCGGTACTCGGTACTCGGTACAAGTGCTCGGTGTTGACATGACACGCCTCGCCTCACTTCGCCTAAAGAAAAAGATCCTTGATCCTGATTCTGAACATGAAGTGTTTCACAGAGAGACCTCGGGTAGGAAATCAGGGTATCAGTAAGATGGACAATGTTCAAATACCATGGCAGCATGGAAGCCGGGTAGAATGCAGGCCCTGACTAGCGCAGGGATAATTTCCGGGGGGCCAAATAAGAAGAGATGGATGGGTGGATGGATGCTCGTCGATCGTCTGTTTAATTCTCCTAAACCTGCCCTGTCCGTCAATCTGTGCCTTGTCTACGGAGGACATGTTCCTGGCAGATGAGTGGCAGTGAATGAGTGGCTCAAACCCCACACAGACAAGTCAAACAATGTCTCAGGACCCTCTCGAGGCAAAGCCACAGAAATAACTCCTCTTATGAGCAAGGCTTGTCGATCTCTCCCCACAAAGATCGACAAGTGATGATCTCCTGGTTAGAATGCAACGTCATTTGTTCCTGGATGTTGGCTGTAATGGGCCCTTCAAGCTCGTCTATTTCCTGGAAACAAGTTGAATATAACCAAACTATACAGGGACAAGGGGATGAGAAACCAACCACCAACCACCCACACAGCGGCACACCATCTTACGGGACGAGTACTTTTACCGCTCTCGCTCCATGGGAAGGCCCCTGTTGTCGCACCGGATCAACTACTTAACGCAGTAAAGGCGAGATTCGATTCCTTGGACACACACATAACAGCGATCGACGCAGGTACGACGACGTTGGCACCCAAGACTAGTGCGTCGATCAACGGTCGTGCAGGGCTGGGATTCCACCTCCCTACATACGGAGTACCTACATATTACTCAGTACTGAGTGTCCTGGCAATGGGTGATTGGGTGACTGGGCGACTGGGATCATCTCGTTGTATGGGGTCTAGGGTATGGGTATGGGTATGACTGGAGGACGGTGGAACAGATGATCGTCACCAATTCACAAACACGGCTCGGTTGAAGCGAAGTGATGCATTGACGATCAAGGAATCCATGTCTCCAAGCTTCTCAAGCAGTTGGGAGGAACCGACCAGATCATGGCACGAGTATCAAATGCCTGGGTAGCAGTTATCTGGTTGTCTTTTGGACAAGTATAAAGCTGTGCAAGGGAAGCTGTCACAAGTCTGGGACAAGGTCTTCTTCCTCTCACTCTCTCCATCCTCCACCTCGGCGTTTACTTGGTTGATTCCTCAAGACAACAATACCCCATCTCCAGAGTCCATACCACCTCCTGCCAAATCTAACCTACAGTCCTTTCCAACCTCTCACAGCCCATCCCATCTCTGCTTTACCACCCACCACAAACCCCCCAAAAAATGCGTTTCACCACACTCGCCATCGCCCTCGCCGCCGGCGCCACCACCGCCCTGGCCTCGGCAATCCCGGGCAAAAGCGCCCTCGTCGACCGCCAGGTGACGCTGTGCACCGGCGCCGACAGCTCGGCCGTGTGCTGCGCGACCGATGTGCTGGGTGTTGCCGACTTGGACTGTGCGCCACGTAAGTGCCACCCCTCCTCCAGGGTTTTCCTTTTTTTTTGATACTTTCCCAAAAGAATATCAGACAATGGACTTTTGGGAATTAACAGTGAATACTTGTAATGCGTTTTGATGCTGACGAGTACTCTCTATAAAAAAGCTCCTACGGCGCCCACCAGCACCGACGACTTTGGGAGCATCTGCGCCTCGATCGGCCAGCGCGCACGGTGCTGTTTGTTGCCTATTGTACGTTTCATACTCCGGAGGGCCCCTCATCGTTTACTACGACGATAAAACTGACGTAAAAATCTCTGTGCGATAGCTCGGACAAGGCCTGATCTGCACATCTCCAGGGAAATAGGGCGCGAGGCGGGCGAAGGCGGGCGAGGCGTTTCTCCTGAGAAAAATACCATAGCCATGTATACCACAATATCACAATGCCACAATCCTCAGCGGTTAATCTCGAATTCTTCAACCTGAGTCACGACCAAGCTCTTCTAAACAGCGGCTGTGCAATTATGAACGACGCTTGGGTGTGCTCTGAGGAGCTTGGAGTTTATGGTGGGGATGCCACAACTTCACCGTAGGGTTCGCTGTTCATATTCTCAAAAGTGTCCAAGTTCCGTAAGAAATAATTGCAACTGAAGGAATGTAATGCCAGCTCTGTGGACTTTGACATGCGTTGTATAATGGTTGTAGCATTGGGTACGACGTCCTCCTAAAAAGTACCCAAGACAAGGCTGATGCGGCTGACCTCGTCGAGTTGGGGGCGCCTACTGGCCGGTTCGAAGCCGGTTAGTTCGGGAACTTTGCCCCGCACCAGTCCTATCAAGAACCTTGACCGGTGAGGCACACCAAAGGGCTGAGGTAGATTTTTTGAAGGACAAGACAATGAAGGCGGCCCAGGGAGTCGACCGGAAGATACTCTCAATGGAACTTGGAATAGAGCCTCATCCTTCTGTTCATGAACCAACCCCTCACGCGAAAAGCCATTGAGCATGCCCGTCACTGGGGGGTCAACCTGGTGGGAGATTGGTCCACGATACTCGCAACCAACCCCTGGTTCTCGTGGAGAGTTGATTGTTTGCGTCGGCATGGTTATTTTGAATCCAACCAGGTGTTTGCTCACCAACCAATGCGGCAACTCGGTGAGCCGATGCTAGTTAAAGGTGACTCGAGAGGTGGTGAAGCAGCAAAGGCGTGACTCCCAGCCTGATTCAGCGGCCTTGTGCGCCTTGTCACCTCTGACTGTTCCCAGTCACCACACTGCTGCTTTAACACGAATGCTATCAACGATCTCAGGCAGGATATTACCACAGACATCCTACAGGCCGAGAGCTTCTTTTGCCTAGGCCCACCAATCGTATATGTGAATTGAATGCTTCGTCGACAGAACTCATGTCTGCTGTCAGCTTGCACAGAGTCCATGCCCTCGGGGATTCAATGTGTCTCCGTTGGATCTGGCCGTCGCTAAGGCTCACGCGCAGAATGCGGCGCTGCTTCTGTCTCGAGGAGCCAAGATCAACACGTGCAGTCAGCTCGCCATGGTCTAGCAGTCGAACCTTTCGGCGGTGAGATATCTGCTGCAAAACAAAAACACCGCGTCCGTCTAGGATTCTAGGCTGAACCTGTCGGCGGCTCTCAATCACGCCGTCCAGAAAAAGACCTTGACATGATATCACTACTATTGGATAACGAAGCCGACCCTGAAGACACCAACGTTTCGGACCTCGAAGATCCTGTGCTTGAGATTGGCAGTCCCATCCATCATGTGGCGTTTCATTGCTTGCACGAAGTAGCCGAGCTGCTCCTTGTTCAAGTTCCTCGTCAGAAAGGGCCGTAACCCGAGCATTGCCGGTGGCTCCTGTGGAAATCTGCTCAACTGTGCCGTGGCAACTGCGTCCGTATCAATCTTGGAGGACATTATGGCGGTCTGCGATGGTAAGGAACTCAGTGTCAAAAATGCAGATGTAGAGGGCAAACTCGCCTCACATTTCGCCGCGACCGGTGCAAACCAGCGCGCCTTCGAGTTGGCGCTGCTTCCTGACCTTGGAGCCAAGGACAAGCAGGGTGGCCGGTCTTTCGTCGACGACAAGACCGCCGAGGGCTACACGGCTGAAGACATTGCAATTTTGCACCAAAAAACCCACTTTATCCCATACCTGAGGTCCAATAACGATGACGTGAGTGTTGCGGATGTTGACGAAGATGAGCTATCGAGGCTAGCGAAGAAGGTGAGGGAAGTATCTGCCGGAGCCTGTGTCAGTTACTTTTGTGTAAGTGTCTATACGGGCACTACCAGATTTACGGTACTGTGCTAATCCGAGGAAAATGCTAACTATGGATAGTTAATCAACGGGACGAGCCATCATTGCACGACGTGCCCAGACGTTTATCTTTGTTGCAAACGCTATCGGCACCTCAAAGACATCCACGATCCTACCCACACGTTCGAGCGGCAGGGAGGTATTGGCTCATTAGATTCCGACCAGGTGGCCTAATCTAGTGTCGGCGAGAGCAGAGTCTGGTCAAGACCGCAGCCATACATCCGATACGGCGATGTAGTCTCGGCACATGAACGGGTTGATACATGTCCGGCCTAGCACCAACTCTCTGGTTTCTGGGTCATGTGTCCGCCTCCGTCTCTTCAGGTACAGACACTCTAGCTCCTCGAACCATTCCAGGGCCTCGACTTCGGTTCTGCGGGACTTATTCACCTCGAGCAGTGCCGAGGAGAGTGGGCCACCGATATCTCACCGGATCCAGCGGAGCGAAACGTCGGCGTCCGCCCTCTTCGCCAGAGCCTAGCTACTTTGGCGTGAGGCGTGAGGTGCGAGACGGTTGGTGGATGGTGGGTGGGTGGGTGGTGGGTTGAGGGATCAAGGATCCATTTCTTTCACCCTTTCCACCCTTTCGCCCTTGTGCCTGTGTCGGTCATTCCAAATTTCTTGGTCCCATCCCTGCCAGGACGATAATGATAGGCTGGATGATCACTCAATGTCCTTTTGAGACTTTTATTTGACGCACCAATTACCATTACCGGTTTTCCAGATTTCCCAATATCAGATTCATATTGACAATTAGCCTGACCTACCGCCCTGGTGCCCCAGTTGTAAAGGGTCCAGTTCCATGTCCAACGAGGTGGTTGATAGTGAGGAATGAGGCCGACATGTATCATCAAACCTACCAATGGAACGAGTCAATACCCAAGCAGGCAGGCAGGCAGCTAGGTTGGAGGATCTAATTAGATGTCAATGGCAGAAACTTCAGCAATTAGGTAGGCAGGCAGTCAACCAGTCAGCCAGTCAGCCAGTCATTCATTCATTTCTTCATTGAATATTTGTCCCGCCTGCTGCTGTGAGATTCTCCGCCCAAGACTCCACGTGCCACGGCTGTAGTACTTAACATCCCCCCGAGACTACCTTATGTACCGAGTATGTATGTACGTACGACACGGCTAACGGCAGATTCAAACAGTCCTTTCCTACCTGATATGTAATATCCTCGACTTGACGCAAGAGCAAAGAGCAAAGAGCAAAGAGCAAAGAGCAAAGCGCAATAATCCATTATAAAGAGAACCAAACAGCCCAATGCGCTATAGTATATAACTCCCAGTTGACAACAAAACCATCCATATGATCTTCCCATTGCCATGTTACCCCAGTTGATAAGCAAACACCATTCCTACATCTTCCCACTTTATTCCATGCCATGCCATGCTATGTCATACCACCTCTTGTAATCAATCACTCCTTCAGATCCCCCGGCGTCGGCTCCGTGCTGATCGCCCCAAGAACTTTCCCATCCGCGCTCTCCCCCCCGGCCAGCTTGAGGACCTCTCGCAGCTGCGTCTTTGCCGGCCACTCCGTCTCGCCCTTGAGGATCTTGGCCGCCGTGACACCCGACCCGTACGCGTCGACGTTGATGCTCGGGCGTTCCTTGATGACGGTGCCGTCGACGGTTAACCCGCCGTAGAGGCCGCGGGACTTTGTGTACGTCCAGATCGGGTTGACTTCTTTGGTGCTGATATCTGCGGTGCCGCCGATGGGGCCGGCGGCCACTGACGCACCCGCCCCCATGGTCATTTCGCTGGTCATGTACGCGTCGACAGCCTCCCGCGTGTTGAGCACGCACACGCAGTCGTACACGTCGACGCCGTAGACGACCCCGATGCCGCCCGAGCGCACGGAGAATGCCGAGGGTGCGGACCACGATCCGTCGGCGAGTCGCGCGACGACCACCCCAGACCCACCCGCCCCGGCGAGGTACATGGCGGCGCGGAAGCCCGAGAAGATGGCGAGCCCTTTGGCGTTGGCGATGACCTGTGCGGGTATTCGGCCTTTGTCTGCGCCTGTATGTCAGTCTGGTTCCAGCATATCATGGAGAGGCTGGAGGGAGGCAATGCCGCGCACCAACGAAGCTCTTGAGGATTTGCGCCGCCTTGTCGCATTCTTTGCGGAGACTGCCTGTCATGGTGTCTTTTGGGGGTTGATGGAGGTGGAATGCACTGTCTTGTCTCGCAATAGTCTGACGCGCTGTGTCGAGGAAGAGAGGTAATAGTAATTCTAGACAGTGAGGTTGATGAGGAATGAACCTGTAGAGTGGTCAAGTATATCAGGCCTTTTAAATTGAGACGAGCGAAAACCCCGAGCTGCTGGCCCATCGACCTTGAACAACAATGTCATCACAGCTCGACTCCTTACTTGTATTTATGGAACAAGCCATGGCCTTTTTCAGATCGTATCGCTCAAGGCTAGACTTGGACCCTTGGTTGCTGGGCATGATCACACCGTAGGAGTACCAGTCGACGAGGTCAAGGTCAAGGCCGTGGCGTCTATGACACGGAGAGAAATCGTAGCATGAACTGTGTTGCACCTTAGTCACTGCGCAGCAAGAAAGGCGCAGCAGGGACGGGTCTTCTGTCGTATTCTGCGTGTCCGGGATCCATGACGACGGAGCGAAGGTTTTTGGAATTATTCCTCAGTAGCTTTGCGGCGCGGAGGTGCGAGGCCGAGGAAGGCCGCAGGCCTATCGTCCGGGGAACAGGAATTAATTCCTGTAGCAAATGTACGAGTGCGAATATGAGCGAGACGAAGTGTCATGTGTCGCATGCAGGATGGCATTCTTTGACGTCGGCGCCGAAAACTATATGGTGGAGGTTGGAAATAATGCAGAGCAGCAGAAGTGGGAGATGGGGGGCGCGTGCGTATCTGCGTAAAAGTGGAGTCGATGTCGAGGGCGAAAAGCGTATTCGCGAGGCTTGGTCAGGCTGGAGTATGGAGTGTTCGATGCGAACCCTCCCACCCTCCATATTCCCATGTCCCCTTGCATGTACAGTAGCTTGGCGGATCAGATTAGTCTTTTTTCGCTGGAGACCCTGAATTGCGGTTATGCGAGGTTGTGCCTTGCCACGTGTCGCTGCTAGGAACAGAAAGACGGAATTCTCAGGTGGAGCAGGGGCATTGGCCACGAACATCTCCTGATTCAATAAATGCATGTTCTAATGCTCTAGACCACAAACAACTTCATCACAATGCCATCATGCCACTCTCACTGCGAGCAGACACTCCATACGCCGGGCATCCAAATACAGCTCTCCCCGAGCCTCATAGCCTCGCAAAAGCTGGAAGAAAGACGATGTTAGTCCTCACCGCTACCAATATTGGACAAAGTCACAGTTGTACTTATGGAGAAGAATGCTATGCCATGATGCCAGGGACATTGAGCATTGGAGGATTGGTGGAGAATGGGAAAGATTAGATTGATTCTATACACTGTACAACTCCCGCGTCTACCAAACGTGCTCCCTCGCATGTCTGACGGATACACCCGCTGCAAGGTATCTCGTCTTGTCTCGCTGTCTGACCATGGATACAAAATACAGAAACCCCCAACGCCCCACTGGTAAAAGATCGGACCCCCCCTGGCGTCCCTATCCCTGCCTGCAAGATCCATAACCCCGCCTCCAACCCCTTCGTAAACGACCTCGCCTAAGCGCTGTCAAACCCCAACTCCGCACAGCTGGATGACAGATATTTATTTGGGGGCCTTTTGCCCGCGACTCGGGTCTTTGAGGTGATACGGTGGGGGCTCGCTGTACACATATTGCGGGAGCTGGTCCACGGAGCGACGGGCCGCCCTGTTCTCCAAGGCCGAGGCACTGGGAGGGATCGAGTCGTAGGGCGGTGCCTGTTGGTCTTTGTCTTTGAGGGCGGCCTTCTTTTTCTTGTGGTCCCGCACTTTTTCGGCCGTGAAGTAGATGGCGGCGCCGAGGGCGAGGGCGAGAGCAACCATTGGAGAGAGGAGTGAGGGAGGCCGAGGTGATGATGAGGGAGATGGAGTGAGGGTTTGCTGGTTTGGTTGTTGGAGGATGAGACTGGACGCAAGGAGTGTCTGTGCCCGAGGTGTTGGTGTAGAATGATAAGGATGATGATGATGGATCAGGATGATAGTGGACGAGGTAGATGTGTCAAATGCAGGCCAGATCCAGTGCTTTATAGCAATCCTCTGAAGTTGTCTGCTCTTGACTTGATGCACTGAACCATCAGTCTTGAATGTGAGGTTGAGGAGTAGTGCATGAGTAGTGCATCAGCAGTGCCCCGGTGGGGATTGAATTGATTTCAGTTGTTGCTGTTGTATCAGCCTCGTTTGCTGTGCGAGTCCCGAGTTTGTGTCTCTCTTCCTCTCCATCTCCATCGTGTACTAGCTTTTGCTGCGCACTGCCTCTGCCTACAAACTTTGCTCTGATGCATCCCCGTCGCCATTGATTCAAAAAACACTAGCGGCCTCTCCCGCCGCTACAGGTACAAATTGTCATAGCGCTGCAGGGTCGACTCCACAAATACGCTCCCGCGAAGCGAATACGCCCCTGGTCAGTCTAGTCCCTCCGACCACATGTCCGCCATCTTCGCCCAATTTCTCAGAGTGCCTCACAAACTAGTCCACCGTGAGGTGCTTACCAACAAGAAAGCCTCGTCTTTGCGGGGGACATGCTTCATCACTCGTATATTCAACGTGAACAAGTACAGCAATACGATGGATAAATTCCGAGCGCTTCTCCTTTCCAATTGCGAAATGGGTTGTCTGTCTGGCTCTATCATCCACCCCGTCGCCCCATCGCGTACTCGGGCTCCGCCATGGCCCATATCGTAACCATGCTCAGTCGACTGTCCCGGTTGTGCGCGTTATTCATACGGCCCTGGACAACAGAGCCATGACATCTGAGTTACCCTCGTTGTTGACCAGCAGCAACGTCATACCTCACATTGTAGACTTGAGCAGAGCTGACTGTCTACAACTATATAATGCTGTCCTCGCTGCCGCCGTTCGATGAAGGACACGATCAAAGCTCCCGCAACCTCTCACTCATCCTATTGCCTCGCCCATTATGGCCGCCGCCTTTGTCGTAGCCTTGTTGGCTCTGTCTCGTACCGCCACCGCTTCGCCCGTCAAAGCTCCTCAGAGAACCAACGGATATTGCAAACAGTTGGACATCCCGGTGTTCGCTTCCGCAGATAGCGCCATCTACGACCACCGGAGAGTGGACAGCAACATTGAAGCACGAGCTTGGGCCGTCTACGAAGACACCTGGAGCACACCCCAGGGCGTGCAGACTGTCGTTAAAAACACCACGACGGCCGGGACTTTCAATATCCATGCCCAGCTGTGCGTTCCCAAAGCCCCTGCGGCGAAAAAAGACATTCTACAAATCGCGACCCACGGCGCACACTATGACGGGAGATATTGGGACCCTGAGCTCCAACGGGACAACCTGTCGTATGTTGAAGCGTCGCTCAGAGCAGGATACTCGATCCTCACGTACGACCGCCTCGGAGCCGGTCAATCGGACCACCCAGACGCGTACAATGTGGTGCAAGCGCCGCTGGAGCTTGAGATTCTTCGACAGTTGACCTTGATGGCGCGCAACGGGACCATTTACAGCCTCGCAGCAAAAGCACAGCCTGCGATGGCGCAGTTCAACTCGTTGACCGCCCCCAACAAAATCGTCCATGTCGGCCACAGTTTCGGATCGTTCCTCACTTCGGCGTTGGTGGCCAAATATCCTACTCTGACCGACGGTGTGATTATCACCGGCTACTTTTACGGCAAATACCTGGGTGCGCCGGGCATGGCGTCGTGGGGTGTTGACTTTGCAGCCACGAGCAACCCTCCCTTCGACCGACCGAGCGGGTATGTCGTGTGCCAGAAAACGGGAATCCAGAATCTCTTCTTCGGGGGCGATCCCGCCACGGCCTTCACCCAGGAGATGTTTGATTACGGCGATGCGCTCAAGCAGCCCGTGCCTGTCGCGGAGTTGGCCTCGGCCTTCCACATCATCGGCCTGCAGGGTCCCGGCCTCAAGGCACCGGTGCAGTACATGCTGGCCGAATTTGACTTTTACATCTGCGACGGCGACTGCAAGGGGGCGTACGAACCGCAGGCTTTGAGGGCGACGTACCCCAACGCCGCCGTGGTGGAGGACTATATCCAGCCCAACACGGGACATGCGTTTACGCTGCACAACAACGCCACGGCGGGGTACCAGGTGACTTTTGACTTTTTGGAGCGGAACGGATTGTGATCTGGATGAAGTAGGAAACGAGTACAATGTAGAAAGGGAAGTGTTAGGAGCAGCATATTGGGAAGAGATTGATCTATCAGGACGTTCGGCTTATAGACTGCGATTCCTTTTGCGTTCCTTTTACTATATATCATCAAGATAATAACCAAGGTACACATGAAATCTCCTGGCTTGATTGATAGTCTTCTGACCTGGACTTGTCGCTCTGTTTGATTTAAAGGAATGCCGGAGAGTCGTCGACGTCGTCGTTGCCAATACCATTGAGACCTGCGATAGTGGTTACAAGTAGATGCTCTCTCGCCGTGGTATACCCGCGTCCACTTTTATTCGCGACGCGTTCCTCAACTACTGAAAACTACGCCATTTCTTGCTCGAGGTGGACAAATCCGTCCCAGTCAAGTCACCGATCCAGTCTCAGCAGCGTCCTGGTCCGGATACGAAGAATCCAGAGTCAGCGTTACAGTCGAGACAATGAAACGGTTGCTTCAAAGTCAGGGTCGCATAGATGAGAGAAGATGCGGTAGGTGTGATGAGTAGCACAGCATATGCATATGATATGCATGTGTTGTTGTCGCAAGATGCCGAGGTCTGGTTCTGTCTGGCATGGGGGATTTGCACTTTTCCTGCACTTCTACGAAATATCGATTACAGATCTACAGTCTCCTTTTGGGCGGTGTCTGGTGCTATGTATCTCCTGCCTATTGCCTACAAGTATACCTCGAGCCTAATCCGTCCTTCGTACTCGTATATTATCTCCCTTGGACGTGTCCCGTCCCCGGGTTTCATTGGGAATGGCGTGCCACAAACCAAAAAACCCCCACTAGAGCATTTACCCACAACCTACTACAAAAACGAGGCTAGAGAGGAAATTGCAAATGCTGATTAGCGAAATCGGATGCGAAATCGGTGTGGACAGGGACGGGGGACGGGGGACGGTGAGAAGAGTTTCTGGCCTGATGCACGCAGTTGTACCGAGTAGTTGTGACTCGTATAGTTGGGGCTCGTAGTAGTAAATGCTCAGCCTCGCCCACCATGGCCAGGCTGGGTTTAGTTGGGTAAGTTGGTTAAAAGGGCGCAGCACAATAATTAAATCCCACCCCAACACTGGGGACACACCACCCACACCACCACACCACCATCTCACCTCTGGCCTGGACAAGATGCTCAATGACTTCAGCCAAGGCACCATCGCAGGCCTCACCACAGGCAGCCCTATTGCCAAGATGCAATCACCATGCGATGCCCATACCTCGTCCTACTGTACTACTACTACTCCCTCCACTGCTACTCCGCCGGATGGCAGTCGACCGTCCACCTACCAGAGCCATCTCAGGCTAATCAAGCGGAATACCGCGGTTCATCGCCCGGTGGAGCTCAGACTCAGGCACAATTTGTAACAAGATTTCCCACGCGCCACCAGCTGTCGACTGCATGTCGCAAGACCCTGACAATTCTTGTCCCCAGACACCCACAGAGGACCCTGAACAACTGAGTCAGCTCAGCTTCTCCCCAAACGGTCGAATAGGAAATCTCTATTAGAAAAACCCCAAGCGGAACGACTTCCAAACAAGTAAAGCAAGCGAAAGACAAAATACAATATCAAAAACCAAGACCCCGATGCTCTAGCCCTACGACACCGAGAATCTCCTTGGTAGTTGCTGGTAGCGAGGCATCTCCCAGTAAGAAAAATTTCAATGGATCGAAGCTCGTCGTCGTCGTCGCCGACGTCCAACCCCTTCCCGCCGGGGTTTCGGTCCAGGCGATCCCACGCAAAATCTCGCAATGGCTGTTTGACGTGCAAGCAGAGAAGGAAGAAGGTGAGCACATACGTCGCTGATCATTGATGACATGGCGGGACTGACGCCGTCGACAGTGCGACGAGAAGAAGCCGTGCTGTACACTGTGCGAGACAAGTCTGAGGACTTGCACATATGCAACAGACCAGCACGAACGAGCTTCAAGATCAAGCGAATCACGTCCACCCGTGTCGGGGTCTTCGCTGCCATCTCCAGTGCCGTCGCCGCCCCGGTCATCTGGGAGTCGATTAGCCCCTCCTCCGAGAGAAATGCTGTCCAAGTCACCGGTGCCGAGTAATGCCCCCCAAAGTCAAGGTGGGAGCGACATTATCCTCTCCAACGTGACAGACTCGGACCTCTACTTCCACTTTCTCAACCATACGTGCCGGACCGCGCCCAGCTGGCAAAAGGACCGCATCGTCTTGCAGGTCGGCATCGCCAAGCTGGCCCTCGAGAGCGAGCTCGTCTCGCACTCGGTTCTGGCACTCTCTGCTACGTGTCTGTGCTGCGACACCATCTCCGCTGGTCGAAGCGCCGATCCCGAGACGGTGCGGCACATTCTCGACATGGGCTTGGAGCATCACACGCTGGCCCTCGAGCAGATGCGGACCATGACGTCGCGACCGAGAGAGTCAGACACGCAACCCCTGATCGCCAGCTCTCTGATGCTGGTGCCCTTTGCCCTCGCCTTCCAGCACATTCAGCACTGGGTGCTCCGGGCCAAGGGCGCACGCACCACGGACCTCTTGACCCCGCGCGACATGATTCTCTTACTGCGCGGGATCCGGACGACCATTGTCGCGCTAAACTCCAACCCCGTCGAGCCAGGTACTTCAAAGTCCAAGTCGCCGTGGGAGACGATGTTTTCGGCGGCAGCCCAGTCGGCGGGAGATGCCGCGACAGACTCACCGACCATACCTGAACGGTCGCACACCATGTTTCCCGTTGTGGGGGCGACGTTCCACCAGGCCTCGTCCCAGCTGCGATGCCGGATAGAATGTGCGCTGGCCGGGCCGCAGGTCGACGAGAACATGGCCGCGGTCTACGGGGCGTACGAGATTCTGAGCGACATCATGACCAGCACGTTTACAGAGTGTCCGGAGACTGAGATTCCCTTTGAATATGCTTCTTGTGTGAGTTTTTCTCCCGCCTATTCTAGCCACCTCTTGCATTGGAAAAGACGCGCTCATCACTAACATTCAGTGGCAAAAGTTCTCCGTCTCGCCCGACAGCCTCCTCGCCCAGGCGCCCGGCTGGCTCCACAACTTCATCCTACAGCGACCAAATCCGACGCACGCGGAGCCGCTGGCGCGATCATTCCTGGCCTTTTTCTCCAGCGCGCCACAGACGTACGTCGACCTGCTCCTACCCCTTCTCGATCCTCACGCGGACATGAACGCCGTCGCCGGGGACGAGTATGGAGACGAGGATAGAGAGCTCACGACAGCCGAAATCTTGGCGCTGGATGTCTATGCGCACTGGCTGGTGCTGATGCTCCTGCTGGAGAAGGAGACGTGGTGGGTGGGCGAGTTCCCGTTCGTGTCGCTACAGGGATTGATTGCGCGGTATGGAGCGGCGTTTTTGGGGGGTGGCACTCGGCAGGAGCAGCAACAGCAGCAGCAGTGGTGGTGGCCGGCAGGGATGCTGGAAGTCGCTGCGCGAGTGAGACAGTGGAAGTAAGACATACATGGTAATTTATTGGTTTATTGAGCGATTTACCCCATATCGAGCGATGGATTTCTTTTGACGAGACGCATAATGATCTGGATGAATGATATGGATTGATGGATTGATGGATCGTCCGGATGAATAGCTAGAGATATATGTTGATAGATACCCCCATATCGCATGTCGCATGTCGCGTGTTACATGTTCATTATCCCATATCCCATGTTCCATGACAATTCGTTCGTTCATTCATTCATTGCTTCATCATTGGCGGATATACTCCCTGATCTCCACGAGTAGTCGTTTTTCTATACTGTGTCCTAGAATACAGAATAGGAAGGTGAGAAGAGATCCTGTTGCAAGACGTTCAACCGAATGAGTCTCGACACTAGCCCACAACTAGGAAAAGGAATTGGTTGCCGCAATGGCAGATTGGTTTGGTTTGTTGAGCTCTTTTCTGTCTGAAGAGAGAGAAGGAGGAAGAGTCCTAGTGACTCGATCTACCTGAATAAAAGAGGGGAGAAGAAAGATCGGGCTAGTTCCAACCTGGCCTAGCGCCACACGTGACAGATCCCACCACGGAACGAAAGAGTCTTTTGAGGAACAAGGAGGAGGAGGAGGACGTGGTGGTGGTAGTCGTTGTCGTCGTCGTCGTCGTCGTAGTGGTAATGATAAGTGATTAAGTGATAGTGGCAGTGGGTCAAGCTACTTGATAGTGACCCGTATGACTTCCAGATCGAGTTAGAAACCCGCACGAGGAGTGATTTGTGTAGATACTCTCGACTGTTCGTACTTGCCTATGTTTTGACCAACTTGCCTACCTGACTACCTCCCTAACTGACTACCTATGTGCACACACACCCCGAGTGACGCACAGCTCTCAAGTATCAGGTGATCAACCCACCCGTTTATCGAAACTCGGACGAGGTTCTACCGTATATACACACACCAGTGTTGTCACCAACAAAAGGATAAGGATGGAAATCTCCCGACCCCAGCAATGATTCCCAACGTGTCGGCGGTCCTGAATTCGACATTTCATTCTGTTTTGCTTTTCTAGAGATGTCGCTTCGTAATGCCATGCTCTTCGATAGAGCTCTCCTCCAATACCTGGGATATCACTTCCCACTTCCCGCCGAACACATCCCGCCGTAGCTCGACACCAGCAGTCCCTTCTCCGTATATATACCTCTCCACCTCCCACAAAGCCCTCGACTCTCCCAAATCTTCCAATTTCCTCCCCCGTCTCCCAATTTTCCAGGGGACAACTACGGACACCCGACATTACTCTTCGTGACGCCGGGCTGGCCCCGACAAATCAGGTGCACGTCGCGGGCCGAGTCGTCAAACTTGTCGGTGCAGGACCAGCAGTCGATGTTGGAGTCGGAGACGCGGATGGGGAACCCCTGGATGTGGATGGTGCGGTCGCCCTGGTCGCACGTGCAGGTGCCGTGCCACTCCGGGTTGATGGCGCTGCAGATGCCCAGCAGCTGCGGGCACTCGCAGTTGTCGAGCGGGTTGCCGTAGATGGTCGTCACGCCGAGCCGGATGTAGTGCTCGCCCAGTTGGCACTCGCCGCGGCCGCAGTTGACGTCCTCGGTCATGGTCATGCAGCCGATCCCGTCGAAGGCGGTGGTTAGGGGCGAGAGGAGGAGGAGGAGGGCGGCGGAGAGGAGGGGAAAGGGTGGGAGTGGGAGCCTCATGGTGTCGATTGATAGTGGGAAGGTGTCTTTGCAAGTGAGGCTTTGTAGTGTCTGGAGTCAGTAGATAAGAGTAGATATCTACTTCTTTCTTTTCCCAACTCACCCTTCTTTTCCAAGTCCGTCAGTCTCCTTTATATACCCCCTCTCCCCCCTCTCCCTCTCTCGCTAGAAAACCCCATTCCTCCCAGTACCACACTGGCTAGCTAGCTAGCTAGGTACCACCGCTCCCATTAACCACATGACATGAGACCCAGACCCAGACCCAGACTCAAACGCACAGTCGCCGCCACTACTCGACACCAGAGTACCGCCAAGCCAGCAGGATTTGATTAGTTCCCGCGTCCACGAATGAGTAAAGTGTCTCTACTCGTCCCGACCGTGGGTGAAACGGTGAAACCGCGATTCGAGGAGTCGGTAAGCGCTAGATGAAGACGTAGGGACGAGTCGAGGAGGTAATGTAGGACCACTCGACAGGTGAACAGGTAGGTGTATCATATAACTAGGTTGAGGTTAAGTAGATTGAGTAGTGTAATAGTGTATGTAGGTAGATTGACTAACTTCGACTGGGGATAAAAGGCCGAAGCTAGAGAGAGAGGGGGGGGGAAACCCAAGGATGTAATTCTCCGTACGTTATACTGTATGTACCAGACATTGAAATGGTCCAGTGGGGGGGTCCCGATTCACCGCCAAACAGCAGGTTCGAGCACAAGGTCGGGTCAAGAGAGTATACCAAGCTTCTAGTTCACGATTTCCACTGGAACTTCCGCCACCACCCACAGTGCCGCTCGAGACATGGAAAACCCTCGAGCGAGGACTCTCCTTTCTCGCCGTGTGTCCTGTTTCCCATGGAAGTATTCATTTTGTTACGAGTCACTCCATTGCGAGCGAATCTCTCTGTTTGATTTTGACAGCTGATTACTTGGACGCCCGTGTACCTTGTCCGCTGTACTTTGGGTCTGGTACTTTTGTTTCCCCGCCAAGCTTCCCTAATGGCGAAGAAGGCTCGGCAAAAGGCAGGAACGAAACACTCAAAGAACCCAGACCGGCGGGAGACGATCCTACCAGCACCCGCAGTCAAAGGTAGTCTGGTACCGAAGAACCAGTCAGGATCCTTATAGGGCTGTTGGGACTGAGGACTGGGGTCTGACACCCAAGATCTCGCCTTCCCCTGGTCTTCGCTAACGGGTTGTTGATTAGATACGAGTAAACAAGTACCGAGTATGGAACTGGTAGAATAAGAAAGCCATTGGTTCTCCTCTCGGTGAATCAATCAGTCAGTCATTGTGTGGTGGTGAATCTGTGGATCGGAGGATCAGTGGATCAGTGGATCAGTGGTCCTGTGGCGTTACTATTGCACGAATACTAGAAAACCGAAGTATTTGGCGACTTTGGCCCGACTTTCTGGCCTATTGATTCGCCCCAATTGGGGCAGGTACCTGGACAAATTGCCTATTCGGGAAAGACCCCTGGCCAATCACATTGTTCGGCACGCCTCCCCAATTCACTTAGGTAGAGGCCCCCTTTTCCTTTGCGCGATCTATGTAGTATATACCTTGTACTACCAAAGTACTTCCCTGTACCGAGTACTCATCATCTAGGTAAGTCATCATCGAGCTTTCGCACCGAGCAAGAACCCCGTATCAGGGCAACCGATAAACGATCTGCGCTTCCGAGTTGTTGGGACCAGGCAGTTGGACACTGGTGGTTTTCGCCCGAAGCGAGCTTCTCGTCTGGTCTGGTTACCAGCGATTCACCGCGTACCAACCAACCGTGTCTGTGCTAGTCGACAGTCGAGTCTGCGAGTAATTCTGATTATTCTTCTTGGCCCCCCCCCACCAAACAGCGAAAAGAAAATGTGCCCCAAGGCCGATCTAGCAGTAGTCCCCACGAGTCGTCCCTCTGATGGTCCATACCTACTCGTCTATTGCCCTGGTTTCGACTACTCGAACAGGCAAACGGTTTGTCTGAGGATCAGGGAGCAGGCATCGGCGATATGAACCTCTTCCAAACACGGTTGGGTCTTGCCAATCTGTCACAGGTTCCATAAAACCCGAACCTCCCCCCGCTCACAAATAAATACAAATGAGGACAGGGGACAAGTACAGGTACAAAGCAGGCAAATAATAAACCCCCACTGGTACAGAGGTACAAGGGACTCATCTATGAGAGGGTCTACAAAGGTTTGACCTTGTATTCGTACTCGTCCTTGCCCTCGTACACGAATTTGTCTGTCATGCTGGTTCCGACGGATCTTGTCCTACCGTGATCAATTCCCCAAGTGTCTTTTGCACCATATCTACCTCAACATCATGTTGTGGTATTGTTCTCCGTACATTGTACTCTTTCAACACATTCGCGGTGTCGCACTAGGCACCAGCTATGTCACACTGTAAATGAAAAAGGCCGGTGCCTCTCCCTCTGCAGTCGAACTCATCGACAGCTTCCCCGTTGTGTCAATGGTCACCAACTCCCCATCGCTGTTCACCAGGTTGTACCCCTTTCCACCCCCGAGGTAAGGAATAGCATATGTCACCGCCATGGTCTTGTTGACCAGCTCCATGTCCGCTCCCATGTACCGCCTATCCACCGCACTGCTAATGGTATACTTCCGACTGTCTGTGGCCGTTTCGTGAATCACCCACCGCTGTGCCATCGAGGAATGCGAAGCCGTCGCCTTGGTCGCGTTGAACTTTGCGGCCACGCCACCGGGGTTGGAAAGTGCATAGCCCGACGACTCAAAGGTGAGATAGCGGCCCTCGGTGAGATACCCCCTGACTGACTTGAACCCCTTCTCAGAAACGAGAGAAGTCTCTTCGCTTTGGTTGCCGTAAGGCACTGGTGGCCGCTGGACGGCATATTGCGACTCACAAAAGGCTGAGCCGTCCCAGACACCCTTGCTATCCTTGTGTGGTTCCTTTGCGAGGGGTATGGTAGGGATGGAAGTGTCTGGCCTGCTAAAGTCAAATGCTGCTGTCAGATCCGACATGTGTGCTCGACGCCACGTGGGCATCTGATCCGTAACCACGTTGTCGAACCCTTTGGCCGCCAACCACTTTTCAACAAACATGATCTGGGAGTTGTGGTCGCATTTCTCGGTAAAGACGTTGCCGCCCCGTGTCCAGGGCGAAATGATATAAAAGGGAAGGCGGAACCCAGGCCCTGAGAATGTCTGCCCGAACAGCCCGAACGGGTCGTCCAACCACTCGCCCGCCGTCCCGTTGGGGGCGTGGTAAGGAGACACATGGTCACCCCAGCCGCCAGTCTCGTCGTAGCTGATGATCAAGGCAGTACTGTTCCAGTTCTTCCCCCGAGTGACGGCGTTGACCACTTGCTGCTGGAGCCATGCTCCGTCGTGAGGAGAGTATGGGGGATGCTCCGAGAGTTCTGTGGGACCAACGATAAACGAAACCATCGGCAAGGTGCCATTTGCAGCCTGTTCATAAAAGGCGTCAAGCCCAAGGAAAGACATGCCCCGTTTGTGCAGGGCAGTACCGTTCTTCGCCATCTGGTACTGTTGGAACCATGCAAGAGGATTGTCATCGAAGTTGTCAATGTCTTGAAACACCTGCCACGTAACGTTGGCTTGCTGGTAGATCTCGGGCGTGGTGGTCCAGGATAGCGGATAACAGTTCAAGCCGGGTGCTTCACAGCCAGGCATTTCGTTGTTGTCAATGTACACGCCGCCTTCATCCGCCGTCTGCGGCGACCCAGGGACTGCAATGGAGCCGCTGACCCAGGTGACACGATTGGGGTTGGTGGACGCTATTACGCTCTCTTGATACATGTCACCGATCGTCCACCCTTCTGCGAGAGCAAACTGGACAGGAAGATCACTCTTCTTGTAGTACCCCCAACTCCACGGTGTATTCTGTGTCGAGGGTCCATCAATGGGATGACAATAGAGAAACTTCTGCGGATTCAAGAACTCACGTTGAGGGCCCAGTGATCGTTCAGACCAAAATTATACGCAAGGTGGTTCTCCTCATACCCATTAGATCCCGCGTCCATGCACTGCGTCGCATTCAACCAGTGGCCGCCCAACTCATTCAAATAGAATGGGAGCAAGTAGTCAGCCTTGGTGGTAATAGTGTTGTTCAACTTCCTAGACGAGTCTCAGGTGCGTTTCCCTACCAACTGGTGCATCTCACCTACTGATACCAAACAGACTTGCCGTTAGGGTTGATTTGGACATTAGGGTCTGAAAAGCCTCGAACGCCGGCCATGGTGCCAAAATACTGTCCTGGGATCAGCAGAAATCCTTCATCGTTACTCTCCCACTTACATGGTCAAAGGCTCGATTCTCCTGCATGAACAGGACCACATGGTTGATGCTCGCCAGCGAGTCTGCAGAGACACCGCTCCCCACGAAGGCAGTGGCAAGCACAGCATACAAGCCAGACAACGAACGCATGGTGGCTGTCGTACTTGTTGATAGAGCATCAAAGTACGTCCCTCACCTTGCGATATACGGGACCCCAATCCTATATAGCGTTATTGTCCTTCTCCTTGAATAGTTATTTCGTCCAGTGCACTGTTCCTTATCCACAGCAGAGTTGTACCGACCTATCAAGGGTACTCAATTGGAAAGCACGTATATCCCCTCGTGCACGTGGTGGTTTCCGATGCCGCTTGCGGTACAGTCTGGGCAGCGACGAGGCTGCGGGCTTCATACCGAAGCCGCCTTACGAAGCAGGCGAATGAGTTTGAGAGGTGCGCGATGTGACAATGGCAGCATGTCGTGGAGCCGGGATCTGCAGTAGGCACGATATGCATAATTGAAAGTGTCAAATGGCCAGATTTACAGACACGTTGTTGTGGCGTCGAGCGTTATTCGCTTCCTCAACCCAGCGGACATCGACGCAGCAGACCATCTTCGACGCTTTGGCAGCAACAGGAAGGTGACTAGGATCTTTGGACAACAACCAATGAACACAAACACACGTCCAGCTCTTGCGTCCTTCCTAGAATGGCATGTGTTGTGTATGTACCGGTATGTGGTCAGCGTGGATTTGTACGAGGGAGCAGACGGAAGGTGACTTTCTTCCTGTCGCTGAGTGATCAGAGACAATCCGAATTCATCAGCTGACTTCCCAACTCATGGCCATGCCACTCCCGAGATGCCATCCGACGTGACAATGCATCATCCAGGTCCCCCTGTTGTCGGCTCGGAACCTGATTACAGCGTAGCCTCTTTGGGGGACGAAGACCGTATCCTTCTCTGGCGGGTTCTCTAAATTGTACAGACCGGCAGGGGACTCTGACGGTGGGTCGGCGAATGGATTGTAATTGTACATAGCAGTGCCTCCTGCGGTGAAGGGCGGTCTCTCACTGCTCCAGGGAGTTGGTGGTGGGAACACGGAGACGACGTAAAAAGAGTATCCATGTAGATGGAACGGATGGCCACCGTCATCGAGGTTGTTGATGACAATCTCGACCCATCCGCCAGAATCGCCAGCAATAGTGTCATGACCATCCTTGACTAGCGGGATGTGTGGCGACAGCTGGTTCTGATCATATTGATCTCGAGTCAGGGAACGCAATGGCGGCGACTGAGGTGTCCAGCTAGTATGATTGATGAAGCCCATGGGGATATTGTGGTGTCTAGCCAGTTTGAGAGTTGTTGTGTAGACGACAAACTGCAATGGCGTATCTGACCACGCAATCGGAAGACTGCTATTCGGCAACGCTGCCTGGAGGTTGTAGTATTCGAGCTCTGGTTGAAGCAGTTGGCTCTGGTAACTAGATCTGGTTCCACGCTTGACAGGAAATCTCTGCAACGGTTCGAGGGCTGGATTCGGGTATTTGAAGTTCTCATCGTCCAATTCAATATCAAGGTAGCCTTGACTGTCGCCCGCACCGGTCTGTAGAATGACATCCACGCGCTCTCCAGGATAGACGATCCCGACCTCTTGAGCCTCGACCATTGTGATATCATGGCCGCCATCGACCTGGAATGGGGAGAAGCTCGCATTATGCATCTTCAGCGAGAAGCCAGCCAGCGAGCCCGTATTGACCAAGCGTAGGCGATAGCGCAGGCCACTTTGGACTTCTAGATAAGGTCGCTCACTTCGTTCGCTCGACGGAACGCACTCCACCGGCCTTGCTGGGACTGCCATGTCGCAGGAAAAGTCTCCTTTGCCGTTCACCACCAAAGAATCCGGCACAGGCTCATTCCCAAACGACCTAGAGTTCATATACCAGCGGAGTACCTCTGTGCTTGGTCGATGATACCAATCGCCTATCAGCAGCAGAATCTCCTCATCATACCGATATCTTTGTTTCTCATCGAGCTGGCTAAGAGGTCGATAGACCACGAGACCACCATACAGGCCGTCGTCTCTTTGTGTTTTTTCGTGTCCATGATACCAGAACGTGCCAAACTCGTCCTCCCCAATGGTGAAATTGTAGAGATGGCTTTCACCTCTCGGAATCGGATCCTGGGTCAGGCCAACCGCACCGTCCATGTCGTTTGCATGTTCCATTCTTAATCCATGCCAGTGTATGGCGAGGCCTTCGTCTGGTAGGGTATTGGTGACATTGACAATGATTCGATCGCCTGAAAGAGCTTCAATCGTCTCGCCTGGGAATAGGCCATTGATGAGATAGACCTCTTTGCGAACACCATCTGGGTATCGATATCCCTTGGTAATCTCCCAGTCGAAGGTCAATGTAGTCGGCGGGCGGCTAGTATGTACTTTGGGGTGTAGTTTTATCGCAATGTCACCGTTGGTCTGTCCGTGGTCTGGCAAGCCATGTCCGAAGATGTCATGGACGCCCTTGAGCAGCCGTGGATCACTGTCCAGCTGATTGAGAAGCAAGGCAGACACGAGGAGGAACAAAAACAGGCAGAACAAGTATCCAGCCGATTTTATGTTTCCGAATGGTGTCCTTGGAGGTGTTGGTATCTGGTCTGTCACTGCGCTCGCTGATGTCTTGGATCCTGGAGCCACAACATTATGCGAGCCATTCTCTTTAGGATTTCCTCCCTTGCGTCTCCTGGAGTTTGTTCTTTCCATGGTGTTCAGGTCACATCGATGTTTGAGGTCTAGAGAGAGGTCGAGAACAGGCACTACAGGTACAATATTAGCATCCTGAACGAGACATTGTGGTTGGATACCTTTGGCGAATTGGCAAAGGATCTGGAACCTGTACAGCCGACACACGTTGATTATGCTGCTCGTCAATCATTCGTCGAGGGTTGTATTGCAGATGCCTCCCCATTGACGCCGTTCATCTCCGTTGAATCGTTGATCGTTGATGGCCGCATTGACAGATCCGGTTCAACTGGACGAATGACAAAGCCAGATTTTTCCCAAATTTCTCACTTCTTCACGTTGACACCCTCGTAGGACACCGTGGACACCTGCACGATGAGATGATCCAACAGCGCTCTGAAATGGCGGAGCTGAATCATTGCTCTCAGAGGTGAGAGGCCCTATGGATATTCACCCGCTGTCTCGTTGTCCCTGCGCTTGACAACCACTCGATTCCTGCAAGGCGGATTCGACAAGGTATATGGCCATGGAGGTGCACGCTTCTGATTTACTTGTACTCATCTCAGATGTCCCTCTCTCCCTCTCTCTGTTCTGTGTGCAAGATCCAAGACTTATGAAAATTATACCATGTCACCAACAACCCCTTGCCACTACTCTTAGACCTAAAGGAGTACTCTCTCAAGCAGCCTATACACCGACAAGACACTCTCAAAGTTTTCTATCTCCTGACCAAAACAAAATCATGCTCCAGCGTCCAGAATCCGGCCGTTTTCTTACCCTGAGCGTCGACCCTTTCTAGCATCTCAATCCCAAACTGCTTGGCTAGGTCGGCGTCATCCGACCACCCGAATTGCTTGATCAGACTCTTCTTCACCCCAAAGACCGGATCCAGTGCCACATTCGTGCTGTCATTCGAGTACAAGGCCGTGGTAAGTCGAACGCAGTCTGGGTGTTGGAGCACAAAATGCTTGTTGCGTAACAGGCAATCTTAGTAACAATGTCTATTGAATATGTTTTGGGGGCGATTGGCGGAACATACCACATGTGCTGGTCGCACATTCGATCTGTTCAGCAGGCGTAGCAGAACACCCACCGGTCCATCAAACGGGATCGGATAGTCGACCGCCCTTACGCCGACCAGTGCAAACCTACCCTCTTCGTCCGTGTGGAAGATACCGCGACAGTCCGGTTCGTCCTTTTCGGGGTCCTGCATGTCGTAGAAGCCGTTGCCGTTCGTCTCCCATACATCTACCGAGACGCCGCGCAGTGGGTTGCCTTCGGTGTCAGTGACCGTTCCGCGGATGAGCATCGGTTCTCCGATAGCCCCCTTGGAAGCGATGGATTGGCCGTTGTCGAACTCATGCGCTTCATTGTGGAAAGGTCCTAGTACAGACGATTCCGTCGCTCGCGGAGCGGTCGGGTTGTTGATGGCATCGACCAGCGCCGATATACCCAGGACATCGGAGAGGAGGATCATTTCCTGCCGGTCCGGGGTGCAAAACTGTCCGACCTTTCGAGCGGAAAATCTTCAGTTAGAATTCGACTCTTGAGGTGGATTAAGAGCTCAGAGTATGGAGCACACGAACCTCGGTCAGGTACTGCCATGCCGCCTCCCATTCGGCCGTGGTCAGTTTCGTGTCTCGGACAAAGTCATGTGAGTATTGGATCAGCTTTGCGAAGACGAACTTCACGCGCTCATCGTTGATGTTTGAACCTAGTTTGATGACATGGGGCGTCAAGTTCTCAATTGTCAGATCATCTGGTGAGGTTTTGTTTGCAGACGCCATCTTCGCCGGCACTGGCTCTCCTCAGGGTTGCATATGAATAACACCGAAGAACAAACAGTGAGCAGAAGCAAGGGCACTTCAGGTCCCTTTTATGAGTTTTCCATCTCGTGTAGAAGCACAAGGGCTCCGGGGACGGGCCAAACAGAGAATGCCGGGTGACACATATCTCTACGCCTGAACAGCCCTTGAACCTTTTAACTTGATGACTTGATGACAGAGTCTCAATGCGGAAGTACGCCGTTGCCTGTTTGGTACCCTTCTCTGGGGCAGAGTTGAGGGGCAACGGAATGTTCCGAGAATACTATTCTGCTTGTGAAATAGTAAGTTTAGGGGGCATTGGGGTTTTGCTTCGAGCGAGGAGGGGGTTATTCCGGGTATAAGTGCCATTTCAAGTGAGACCCCATACTTCTTCGCGCTGGGCGGATTTGTCCTCTAGACACTTTGACCATCGATGCTCATCTCGCTTTCTCTTCGTGCTGGGTATTCACTTACCATAGTTCCTCATCGTCACGTTGAAAGAACTCGTGGCTTGGAAAGTCTTGTAGTTGTCGTCTTGCATCGCTGGACAATGAATACCGATCAAATAGAATCTTCCAGCCGTTGCTCCACGGATGCGGACCCTCAGACGAGTGCAGCAGAAATGAGTCTTCCAATACTAACGACGCGGGCAAGATATCTCGGTTGAACCCTCTGCTGCATCTCACATACATGTACGGAGCGAGTGATTGTACGGTCCGGATCTGCGATAAGAGTTGCTGACAGCATATTTGAGATGGCTTCGACCGTGTCTAGTACTCCGGATCCATCATTTCTAGGCACTTTGGGTACTTGGCGCCTGAGATTACTTGTCGTAAAGATCGAGGCCCAGTGTGCGCGTAGATTGTCTCTACGGTCCGAGAAGAGCAACAGGGAATGCTTGAGGAGCAGAAGCTTTGTATGTTAGCATCCCATATGCTCGTCACGTCTGCTTGCCGCCGAAAAACTGATCGATGGGCCCGCTCCATTGGCTAAAGCCAGATGAAGGCTATGTGTCGATGTGATCTGTCTCTGAGTCTGATGCAACCTCCGCTTGGAGGTCACCGCCAGACCGCAGGTTCTCTGGATCCAGTTGCATGCGTGGCAAAATAGCTGCAGTTAGGACAGCAGCAATGCACGAGGTCAAAGCGATGACTTCAGAGGTTCAGTGTTTATCCAAAACCCGAGTAGGAATCTCACGTTCAGAAAAGTGACTTACGGCAACATTTTCTCGCTGCAACACCGTACGCAGCTTGCATAGCCTCTCGCACGTCGCTGGGAAGAGAGCCCAGATAGTCCACATCCTCCAAGAAGTGTTTGAACATCTGAATTTGCCATGTCAATAGTTTGGTGACGACCGTTGCACATTATTGACGTCAAAATACCTTTTCAGACGCCGGGTCCGTCCCGACACGTTGCCGAAGTTCGGCCATGGTAAGCAAGCGCAAGGAAGCCGACGTGATCGTGATGGCAAGAACTCCCCCAAATGCCTCAAAGACCTGGAACATGCTGATCACAACCGCACGATCTGTCAAGTGATTAGCGTAGTTCTGCCTTCGTATGACCGTCCCTGACCTTGAGGTGGACTGAATCGTATCACACAAACAAGCAGGCAATTAGGCGGCGTGCCTGCTAATAGTCCAACGAAGCCCACTGTAGGCAAGAAAAGCCAATGATTTGGTGCTAGTCGATATCAGTGGAAGAGTTTTATCGGTTGATCACAAGGACGGTACCGGTTAGGCCCTGTGACAAAACCCAAAAACATATCGCCAATAAAGAGAGCGTTACGACCAGAGGTAGGTTCGGTCCGTATCGCTTTACAAATCTTGCGCCGATGACGGCCCCTAGTGTCATGGATATCATGAAGACCGACACAACAATTCCGTGGGATCTGGCAAGTCCGAAGTATTCGACTTGGGCATATAATGGGAGCAAGAAGAGAACCTAAAGGCGGATAAGTTTCTCTAAAAGTGCTTGGAGAGTGCAGAGACTGACTGAGTTGTGGGAAATCATCAGCAACAGGAGGCAAATAAACGGCCGGGACAAATTGACGCCGAAAATGAGACGAACAGGAATAATCGGTTCACAGGTAGTCCGAAGCTCCCATAAAACAAAGGCAGCAACTGCTGGGATGGTGACGGAGAGAAGTGAGATGATGACTGGATGCCGCCAGGGAAGATGCTCGCCTCCCAAAGAAAGTGCGATGATAGGCGGCAGGAACACAAATACGCATAGAAAGGCGCCGACGACATCGAAGCTGGAGCGCTCTGTTCCACGGTCTGGAACCAGGTCTGCCGACTTTGTGGGTTCAAGTCGTCCTGGCCATGTGCATCGAGGAGAAAACAAGACCAGTGCGAGGACAGGTACTGTGCAGGAGGCTTGCACGGCAAACATCCTGACAAGATCAGCGAATCTCATGGGCGTAAATGTCGGTGATAATGGAAGAACGAACACTCTCCAACTGCTCGCGTCTGTCACGAGCTCACCAGTCGGACCACCAGCAACCCATCCTAGTGTCTCAGCTACGACTGAATAGCTGTGCCATATTGCGAGATCAGCGAGGCTTTGGGTATCTGTAAGCACAATCCGTCGTCAGATGGTCGGTGATGGCGAACGAGCTGGTGAGTTGGGAGCGAGCATACCGCTCCAAAGAATTGTGGCCATCAATCCCAGGCCTGCACCTCCGAGGCCGACAATTCCTCTGGAGGCCAGGATGAGAGGCCATCTGCCAGAAATTGAGCTGCAAACCGTCAGCATGTGCCCGTCTGTCACCGTGAAGCTGGATGTCACCATAAAACATTGCCAAATCCGAAAAGAAGAGCGCTAGCGATGACAACTTGTGACTTGGCCTGCTTCTGAGCTAGTTTGCCTAGCTTTCCTGACTGTCAAAACTGATCGAGTTTGCAAAGCAGATTGTATGCGGCACATACTAGAGGATTGCTGACAGTGTTTACGATGGCATAGACGATGATCAAGAGGCTGGAATTGCGAAACTGAGAGAACTGAGACGCTGCCTCGCCGCGTTAGTAGAAAGAAGATGCATAAAATGCCAACTGACCTATCTGTCCATTTTGCGCGAGAGCAAATGATTCATCTGTGGCCGTGACAAAGCCGCCCCAGAGTAAGGCTGCGCTCAATCGTGCAAACAACCACCGGCTTCTCTGAGAGGTGCCGGATTCGCTGGAGTCTGGCAGGAGGCGGGTCGTATCGCCTATCTCCTCCGAAGACATAGGTGCTGCATTAGACGGGTTGAAGATATTGAACAGATGGAGAAACTTGTAGTGGTTCAAGGACAATCGCTGATCTATTGCTGTAGACGGAGCGGGATTAAGCTGCGCCTTGGCAAGGGGTCACGGCATCCCGTGGACGCCTTACCCGATTAAGGAGCCGGTGAGAGGCATGAGGGTCAATGTTGAGGGCGCAGGCTGGGAACAGGAACCGGTGAAGACATCAGGTGAACCGTTTACCAAACGAGGCTACCGGTGAACAATGTGACGGTGGCATTGAAAAAGTGGTGAAAAACGCCTTGGGGATCGATCGTCCACGTCTTTTCCAGCCTGAAACGCTTTTCCAACCATCCCAATTCGCTGCCCTGCAAACCCACATGGCGTTGACTCTTCGCTTTGCAACAGCTCGAGACATTGCTGCCATAGCGCGGGTGTGTGTCGAGTCTCTACCAGATGACCCGACCTTTGACTACCTCTGGCGATACCGCCATGAATACCCGGACGACAACTACTTTTTCTGGCTCCAACGACTCAAGGGCAACCTGTTCGACCCCGATATGACCTGCCTGGTGGTGGCGAAGCCTCACTACAAAGGTGCCGAGGAGACAGTGGTGTCAGTCGGACTGTGGCGGCGACACGGCTCTACCCAGGCAGCAAGGCAATGGCAGAAGCAGGGTTGGTTGGACTGGATTCAAGGTAAGACAAAGAAAACTAGACCGGGACAAGTTCGGGCGACTTTGACACGCAACAGCCAAAACAGAAGCTGACGTTGGGCTGCAGGATTGGCAACCAGTGTTGAGAACTGGGCTATTGCGCGGCAGTATCAACGTCGAGATGCAGATATGCTGCGAGTCGAAGCTTTCAAGCAAGTCATGGACGAGGTCTATGACATTTATTGGCGCAAGGCATTTCCCGACAACTGGCACCTAGAGTTGTTGTTCACGCACCCTGAACACAGGAAACAAGGCGCGGCTACGAAAATCGTTCAGTGGGGGCTCACCCAGGCTGAGATGGAAGGCGCTGACCTGGGACTTGAGAGCAGTCCGATGGGCTTCCCGCTGTACCAGAGTCTGGGGTTCGTGCTCATTGAGAAGCGGACTGTCAGGGTGGACGGCGATAAGGCAGAGCTGGGTGTCCTTGTCATGCACAAACCATCATCTCAGTGAATCTTGATAGGGCTGAGTCCTACCAGCCGGCTAATGGATGAGACATTGGCCTTTTGAAAGTGAGGCAGAAGACGTTGAGATCGAATAAGAAGCTGACGACGACCGTGTTGCTTGTGTCGTAACAGAAACCGTCGACAAGGTTAATGAGAATCGTATCATTCGTTACATACAAGATAATCAGACAGTATCAGAATGTCAAAAGAACCATTCACGCGCATTGACTATTCGATCGTTACAGCGGACTCTCGATGTTGTTATGTGTCCCTCCCCACAGCCTTGAGAGCCCAATCATCCATTTTGGCTCCAGCCACTATAAGGCACTCGCTTCGCATGAATGGGTGGCTCCGGGGGGAAATCTTCCTGCCGAGGGACTGTCCGACTGCCATAGAGCTCTTCCCACTGATCTTCCAGGACCGGTGGAATATTCCAGCCCAAGCTCTCGCTGCGGACAAACATCTTCAGCAAGTGTCGGGGGCTACTCTCATCCGGTGTGTAAGTGTCTCGTGAGTGGAGCAGGGCCATGTTGTGGAAAAGCAGTAGGTCTCCGTTCTGGAAATCAATCTTCATGGACAGGTCGATTGCCTGGAAGTAGAGCTCGTTGAGGGCGAAGATCTGTTTTTCAGATAGGGGCGGTAGCTCAGTCGACCTTTTGGTGTTTCCGAAGCCGGTAAAGGGACGCCGAAAGCTCTGGAGGATGACTTTGCCATCGTGATAGTGCAACAGGGGCTTCTTGTAGCTCGGAACTTCCGGGTGGAGCCTGGATCGACGAGAATATGAGCCTTCAGACGAGACACGACGCGCTAATCCATGGGGGTACATGGTCGTCGACTTACGTGTCAAACACAAAATCCTCGCTGAGAGTCCGTAGCACGCCTGGGTTGGACGCGGCCAGCTTGTTGTACACAGTAGCTGAACTAACCAGGCGAAATGATCCGCCTTCAGATCCTCGATTCACAGTGAAAAGGCTCACGACATCACCCAAGTCAGTATGCATAGTCTGTTCGGGTCAGAATGGTATTTGTTTTCGCGTAGGGGAGGATACTGTACCATAGCCTTGTTGGTGAACGTGGGTGAAACAATATCGTCGCCTGGATAGAAGGTTTGAAGGTCGCGAACGTGAGCCACGAAGCATTAGTTGACCATCGAAGCTGCGATTTGGGATGGGCCATACTCAGGACATCCGCTCCGCTCGGACCATTGTACCCTCTTGTGGAACCAATATAGCTTGTGAGGCCAGCTTGGATCATGATGCAGTCCTCGACGGAATATCGCGCAGGATCAAGGCCGCGGATCAGAACAAATCCTGGGGCGCCGTGTATCTCAGTGGCAGCATTCTCGAGCCGCTTTCGCAGGTCCTCTGACACAACGAACGACCTCGGAGACAGATCTCTCCACGGAATCTCGAGCTCTGAAGATATCATCACCATCATCAGTCATAAAGCTTTTTAAGCGCAGAGCGACTAGACCAATACCTTTGAAGCCTGCCAATGCATCTTCAATGGACGCAATGTCGTCCGTTGACAGCTTGAGTGTCCATTCCTGTTTTCTTGAGCTCATATCGCCACTGTCCCATGCCAACGGGGAGTTTATATGCGAGGGGAAGCCATCTGGGAGCTGCTCGGAATCTGATCTGGCTATCGCCAGAGGGTGGAGCGTATGGCGGAGACGGTCCTCTAAAGAAGGCACATATTGGAGAGTTGACACAGAGTGAAGAGTAGCTGCAGTGGCCATGTTTGGAAAGATACAAACAAAATTTAGTCGTCGATGTACTACTCGTAAACCGTCTCGCGTCAGATAAAGTGTCTAGGACAGCTGTTGATGAGAGCTGGGCGGATGGTCTGGATAGACACGTTCATATACACCAGTGCCCACACAGCCGCTTCGTATTGGGATACATGCGGCGATAGTTGCTTCTGTCCTGGCTTCCCCTCACACGGCTCGCTTGTTCATGCTAGCCCAGGGATGAGTGCTCTTGTTGGGCAATCCTTGTCGGCCATTCGTCAGTGATCTCAGCAAACCCGAACAAGAGTTGTCGGCACCACGAAGTCTGCTTCACGGGTGCTTCTTCAGTGGTCGATGACCCTCCATTCTGCCGCTGCTGCAGCTCCAGCTGCAGGATATCTATCGAGTCTCAGAATCACACCGGTTAGAAAGTTGTGGAGCTAGAGGTTCCGACTTACCATCACGCCATCCCATGAGCCGCTTGTAGTACTCACGGTCCGTGCCGTCAAGCTTCGCGCATTCAGCCGCATCCTCAAATTGCGAGAGTGAGAAGATGGGAGCATCCTCAAAGGAACATCGCCTGATATAGTACCGAAAGACAAATACTAGATGTTGAGCAGACCACTTCCACTGCTCCAGCATGGGGCGAGAGAACCGCTCTATATGCCGACCAAAATAGCCAGCATCCTGTCCGGAGGGTTAGTCAAGGAAATTCGACAGTTAATACCGCCTGACTTACCGCGCCTCCATGCTCGAGCACGTAGAGTAATTGTGCTTCATACGCAATCTCTGCTGTATTGAGCAGGACGAAAATGATAAGGAACACCAGGAACCAATCGCCTTTGTTTTTTCGCAGTAAGGCCTTCCAGAGTTCCTTGAGCATAGTCTTAGTCACCTCTTGCATCCAATTAATCGTGCATGTGTCAATTTGGTAGTCCAGCATCGGAGGAATGGGAATGTAGTCCTTGTCATGGGCCGTGGGATCCTGGATTGGTTCCAAGCCGAGGGTTTCCCTGCCACGAAGGGAGCGGGGTGCGGCCAGGAACCTTGCTCCCATCCAGAGTCTCACAGCTGCACGTAGTAGCGGGTGTTTGGCCTGTCGATAATCAGCGTTACTCCTCTCTTGCGACTGGAGAACCACAGCAGGCTCACCTCGTGACGGCTTGCGACTCTTAGCGTTGCGATGACAATGTCGGGGAATTCTTCGGCATCTTGATTAAATAGACCGAGCTGATAAGTACGGTAGTCTTCCACTATGTCGGCTAGGCGTGATCGAAGGGCGCTCAGATCGAAGGCGCAGTAGGTTGGAATGGACAGAACTTGGTGAGTTTCTGGTCCCCATTTCCTTTGGACGATATCATCCACCTCGGGGGAGTAATGACAGCATCCTACTTCGAAAAAAGGCCCTTGAACCTCGCGGAGGGACGTCGACTGTACGCTTAGTTGCACCTGTGATTTCGAGATCCATCTCATGCTCTCACGAAGTGGTTGGCGCCACAAGGCAGATTCTGTGCTTGACATTAGCATCTGAATATTTACTAAAGACGTCACGTACTCAGGCGAAAGAAGCCGCATTGCGTGAGATCCAAGCGGAAGCAAGGCTGGCTGAAAACGACCGTCGGATCACGGCATTTATCCGGATCATTCTTGCAATTCTGGCAGGGAGTACCAAGATCACACTGGGAAATGCTTTAGTGAATCTGCAGTATCCCTTGCAACAAGAACATACCGCTTTCCGCCACATTTTACATTTGAAACAGGCGCCTCGCTTGCGCAGCTCTGCAACATCCTTCCTCTTCTGGGGTGTGAAGGCCGATCTACGGTTCTTCGCCTTACCGTTTGCAGCTGAATCAAAGGTGATGAAGCTTGAATGACTGCCGTCCTTCACGTTCCATGTAAATTTGGGGTTGCTGGAAGGTAGAGTTCGCCGCTTGGTCATAGGCTCGTCCGATGGAGCGTTCTCGGGTGAAGTGTTGCCCCGTTTACGGCGTCCCACCCTCTGACCACTCTGACCATGACGAGCGATCGGGGGCTCCAAGTTTATTGTCGTATCTGAGTCAGGCTGCGCGGTTGCGCTGCTTTGCGGGCTTGTCCGTCTAGTGTTCAGGACTTGCACAGTTGACGGTGTAAGTGTCCTGCCGACTGTGAGTGTGTCGCATGGGTGTGACTGCGGATGAAGCAGATGGGAAGTTTGCTCAATATCTTGAGGTGTGGCGACTGGATGAGGGCCTGCGGCAACAAGATCATCGAGAGTCTGCCGAGGATATCAGCACAGCTATACACGGTCCGCAATGGGAAATCTCGTACAACATCAGAGAATGGCAGAGGCTCGAGAGATCCAAAGAACGGATCCCTTGCTCCAGCTATGGTAGGCAACTCAGGATGATAGCCAGACAGAGCAGGTGCTAGTTCGTGGTCAAGAGATGGCAGGGAAAGTTGAGCAACGTTGGCATTGTCCACATTGTGTTGGTGAGTCGAACTTGATGGATTGACAACATCGTCAAGAAGCTCAAGCCCAAGCGTATCGGGCCATTCCGGCCAGAACTCTGAGCTCCAGCCGGTGGTGTCATTCCAAACAAGATGTTGTAGCCCCGATGGGTCTTGAGAGAAATCGTTACCAGAAGAATCCATGGGAGTGTAGATTAGTGGAGCACCGTGCACTCTTTTCTTCTCTGACATTGATGGCCAGTGTGGTATGTCCTGAGTTTATGGAGGATTATTATGTATTTCTTTGGTGCACTCAGACGATTCAACCAGCCCCACCACCACTTAGTTTGCCCTTTCGTGGGGTAAGCATCAGGAAACTCTTCACCGGTACCCCAAATTGGAAGCGCGGCGCCCTATCGGATCTAGAAGTGAGGCAGTCCTTCCCAAGCCACCAGATTTAGAGCTTCGGCCTTGGCCCCTTTCCAACCCACGCCCAATCTAACAGCTTGTCCATTGCCCTCTTGCCTTCAACCCAGCGACAATCGTATGCATCATCCAAGAATCGTTCCATTGGTGTCAATCCTTCGCCGCGACGCATGTCCTTGATAAATGCACTCAAATCGTGGCCCTGTACAGTGCATTGCCGATTGTTGAACTTGTGTTCCTTAGGACCCGGAGGGCCGGGCATTGTTCCTGGATCTGTTTAGTATATACATGTTGACAATATTCTCCCGTACACCTAAGGGTGATGGGGTCACGAACCTGAGGTTGTTGTTCTGAGAAGACGGCTGCGTCCTGCTGAACAGATAACCTTTGTTGCGCCATGGGCAAAACGAACTTTATAGATCATACCAAGTTAGTTGACGTACCGGTGTAGGAGAGTAGCCATGTCCCCTGGTGTGGTATACAAAGATTGAGCAGGAATGAGAGGACTTGCGGGTATCTCTCACAGGTTCCTCTATTAGGAAACCGGTAGCATCTAGATAGCACCAGGCAAGGCGTACTCAGGAGGTCTGGGGAACGTGTACGAGGTACATTCTTGCTCATTCCACAGTCTCTTGTCCGGTAACCCTGTTTAGGAACTTGGGCAGACATTTGTCTTCAGACTTGGTATGTTTGCTCTACTCCGGCTCTTGTCTAGGCATGGTTCCAAATAGGCGGCACCCGGGGGAATCGGACATAGGGCAGCCTATTGTTGAAGTCGGCGAAACAACCCCATATTAGCCCTTGTTAGCATCTTTCGTCGATTGGATGCTTCAGACTGGGGGTTGACGGCTGAACTCGCCTGCTTTGTCTGGCTCCGGTAGGGGTATCCGCAGCCAGGATGGTCCTTGCAGATTCCGTGCACCCAGTAAAAAGGCCTCACTCGTTGAATTGAATAGGCCAGGCGACTCTGTCCATGTGCGGTACGTAAGAGGCTCGGGTTGCCGTCCGTAGATGTTCGCAGTGGTTTCACTGGAGTGAGAATATCTCTGAACGGTGAGATATACGAGAAGTAACTACTAAGGTGGGTGTTGGGCATGAGTGTTGTTGGTGATTATTCAAGGGGTTCTGCGGAGTCTGAATAGGCAGTTGCAGTTGATGGGGAGAAAGGGTGCGCCCACCTTCACACCAGTTTCCATTGCATGGTTTCCACGAACGACGGGTCCCTCCGGTCATGCCCTGGGCCTGAAAAACTCTCTATCAATTCATCTCAGGTTCCCTGTTACTGACACTGATGCTACGACAACGATCTGCATCACCAAAATGTGTCGACCGATAGAGCCCAGAAAGACAAAATGGGGGCCTGTGCAGCCAACGACTTCAAACCTCAGATCGCCACCAAGATGATGCTGATCTCGACGGGTCAGTAATGTCATCCAACCCCCCATTGAAGAGAATAGGGCCGGACTCTGATATCTAACAATGCCTAAGATGCAGCTCTGTGGACCGACTGTCACTGACACCTCGCCGTGCCCAACACGCCAGTCACCACTGTGATAGGATCCATCTGCGGCGTTCATATCCGTGATCATCGAGATCGACCTTTTCACCCATGAATGCCGGCATTCTTGGCCAATTCGCACCATTAGGCTCGCGCTGCAAGACGTGCGGAAGGCAGGCCAAAGACCAGCAGGCGAAGAATGTGTGCATATCCCTCTCAAATATTTTCAAGTCTGAGCCAGCAAGGTACTTCGACCAAGAATTTGGAACTCTGTCCTTGGTATACCCGTGAGTACGAGGCACATGCTGATCACACTCAATCTCGGTCTACAGGGATGCTGAAGCCTGTGGTTCCCTGCACAACCTTTCCATTGGAGCAAGCAATTCCCATTTTGTCTGGTGGATAGGGGCCTACCGCCACTTCCAAGAGGAAAAGTATTCCTCCCAAGGCTCTTGATATACGTAAAGACGCAGATGTCGCCCCGCTTCGGGGTCCTCCACCCCTGAATGCTCACCAATAAGAAAGTCTTCGGAAGAGGACCCTGGACTGGTTGCCCCTAAATCTGGCTAAAGGTTGGCCTTCCGGAGAACTATCTGGGCGAAGCGATGCTACCTGGACCTCCGAGGCTCAACGAAGCCCGGCCATTGGTCTTGCACCCCTGCTCCGCCTATCGTCAAATCGATGGTGGCCGAGTCTCGACTGTCGCCGATCAATCCTTCTCTTTTCCGGGGCGTGCCCCCTCGCCATTGCTCGGCTCAGCTTTCAGCTTTCAGAATTTAGACTTACGACTGACCTCGAGACTGCAATGTTTTTTCACGTCCCAACCTCACTCATTGGACTTTCCTGGAAGCTTGACGGCGGCAGCAATAATTTCAATGAATGTCAATTATGAACACGACAGATCCACGCGTTGGCTCGGCCCGTGATAACTCTACGAGCCCTGGATTGTCTCGCCTGGTTTCTGGTTCCAATTCCTCTGCGACAAGCAACCTTGTTGCGACCCTAGTGCCTGTCCTAGTATGGGCAGCCCTGTGTATCATCATCTTCATAGCCCTGCGACGCAAATGTCCTCGAGTATACTCTCCAAGAGCGTTTCTGAAGAGCCTGGAGCCACAGTATGTTTTTTGCGTCTTGATGTTCCCATAGATACCTGCGTGAGGCTGACATCTTCAAAAGCGAAAGGAGCGCGCCACTTCCCGATGGATGGTTCAGCTGGTTTAAAGACTTCTATCGCATCCCTTCTACTTTTGTGCTAAACCACTCATCTCTTGATGGGTATCTCTTTCTGCGTTTTCTTCGGGTGTTGGCAGTGATATGCTTGGTGGGAATACTGCTTCTCTGGCCTATTCTTCTCCCACTGCACGCGACAGGCGGTGCTGGCAATGTCGGTCTGGATTGCTTGACTTTGGGAAATGTTGTGAACCACAATCGCCTATATGCCCATACCCTACTGTCATGGGTCTATTTCGGTAAGTCATCTCCAGACTACAACCCAGCACTTGCAGTAACGTGCTTTGCAGTTTTCATCCTGTACATGGTCTCGCGAGAATGTGTTTACTATATCAACTTACGGCAAGCGTATCTTCTTTCACCATTTTATGCAAACCGCTTGTCCTCACGGACAGTGCTCTACATGAATGTGCCCAGACAACTTCTCGATGAACAGAGACTCCGATGGATGCTTGGAAGCTCTGTCAAACAGATTTGGATTCCCCAAACAACCAATGAGCTCGAACGCCTGGTCAAGGAAAGGGAACAGACGGCTATGCGGCTAGAGAAGGCCGAGTTTGAACTCATCAGGATGGCCAATGCGGCAAGGACGAAAGCACTCAAGAAAGCCGACAGCGGAGAACAGCCAGAATCAAGTAAAAACTCTCTCGAGACCGAGACCGAGACTGAGGTCTGTAGCGAGAATGGGAGAAAATCAGTCTCGAGATCTGGCACGGCAGAAATTGTCCCAGCGTCCAACGATTCACAGGACACCACTTACCCCTCGAAAGAGATGCAAGAACGCGCCCTCCCCGATGTCAACGGATCAGTTGCATCACAATGGATTCCTCATAGCTCGAGGCCACACCACAGACCAATTGCAAACTATGGCCGCCGCGTGGATACCATCAAGTGGACAAGGAATCAGATCAGGAAGTTAAACAACCAAATTTCCAGAGTTCGACGAGACCAACTTTTCAAAACTGATGGCATGCTGCCTTCCGTTTTCGTGGAATTCGAGACACATACAGATGCACAACACGCCTACCAGACGCTGACGCACCATCGCCCGCTGCACATGGCTCAGCGGTTTCTTGGTGTAAGACCGTTCGAGATAATATGGGCGTCGTTGTCAATGTCTTGGCTAGAGACAATCGCGCGGAGATTCTTAATCAAAGCTCTGATCACCGCGTTGATTATATTCTGGGCAATCCCGTCTGCTTTTGTTGGCACAATCTCCAATCTGGAGTATCTCTCAGAGAAAGTCAGCTTTCTCGGGTGGCTTGCAGATCTCCCAAGCGCTGTCAAGGGTATCTTGAGTGGCGTTGTCCCGGCTTTAGCTTTGTCTCTGTTGATGAGTATTGTTCCCGGAATCCTGAGATGTAAGTCGCACCTCGTCTTTCATTCTTCCCAGTGCTGACGGTATACCAGTTTGCGCCAGGCTTGGAGGAGTTCCAACTCTGAGCATGATTGAGCTTTACACTCAGCACGCCTACTTCGCTTTCCAGGTCGTCCAAGTATTCCTGATAACGACCCTGACCTCAGCGGCGTCCGTAGCCGTGACAAAGCTGCTCGAGGATCCAACTACAGCGAAGGATTTGCTCTCTCAGAACCTGCCCAAGGCTTCCAACTTCTATCTGTCGTACTTCCTTCTGCAGAGCCTGGCACTTGGATCTGGAGCACTTGTCCAATTCGGCAATCTGTTCCAATTGTATGTGTTTCGAAAGTACATCAACAGTCCCAGGAAGATGTATATGAGATGGCATCGACTTCAACGTATTCATTGGGGAACAGTGTTTCCCGTCTACACCAATCTTGGTGTCATCAGTGAGTTTTCCTCCTTGGACACACCACAATCCCATAAGTAGGCTGTTTCTGACGATATCTCAGCTCTCAGCTATGCGCTTATCGCCCCGATCATCCTCGGATTTGCTGCTGTCGGTCTGATATTTTTGCACATGGTGTATCGCTACAACCTCATCTACGTCTACGACTCGGAAGTAGACACCAGAGGGCTTGTGTATCCTCGCGCTCTGATCCAGTTACTGCTGGGCTTATATTTCTCTGAAATCTGTATGATCGGGCTGTTTTCACTCAAAGGTGCTTACGTGCCAGTCGTGCTCACGGCGATCTTACTCGTCCTCACTGGTTTGGTCCATAGTTCGCTCCTTGAAGCACTCGGCCCACTTCTGTGGAGTCTTCCAAAGAGCCTGACGGTCCAAGAAGATGAGCACTTGCTAGGAACTCGACCGACGAACCCACGCCACGCTGAGGATCCGGAGCATTTCGAAGGATACCATTCCGACAAAGAGCAACACGAGCCGGACCTTGGTAACAGCAGGGCCATGGAAGGTGCAAGCGGAGCTCTGAACGCCCTTGGAGGAGGCATTAAAACCATATTCAAGAAGAAAGTCAAAAAGGAGGTCCCTGAAGTCCACATGGTACTTAATGCTCTCACAGCATTCTGGATGCGATGGATATCGCCGAACCCGGCAGACAAGTCCAACTTCCTCCTACGGTGGCTCCATCCAGAGGTATACTCGGACTATACTATTCTTCGTCGAATGGTTCCGTCTGACTTGCCAGATCCGGTGTACCCGGAAGATATCGAGTGCGATATCTACTACCCACCTTCATTTTTCGCGAAGCCACCGACTCTATGGATTCCCCGCGATCCTGGTGGTATCAGTCGACAAGAGGTGGAACACTGTAGCAAGGTGATCCCAACCACAGATGAATATGTGCAAATAGACGAGAAAGGCCGTGTGACGATTAATCTGGAGGAAAGCCGGCTCGTATTTGATGTCAGTCGGCTGAGATATTGATACATTATAATGATACAAGAACATAAGAAACAAGTCATAATTACTGTTTGATGGTTGAATGGCTATGGTGTGGAGGGCGTAAGGCTGTGGCAATTGAGGCGCGAGGCTGCTCGTGCACAGATGGAAATCCTTAGCGTGACGGCAGGAGCAACCGAGAACTTTCAAATGCAACTCGCACCGCAGTTCGTGAACGAGACCGACAATAATACGCCAGCAAACATTCGACCACACGCTACTCCAGTACGCTTTCACTTCACGAAGTCAGGCGTGCCTAAAGTGCACATCACCTCGTATTTGTCGCCTCCTGTCACTTATTTATCCGCTGTCGATTCGTGATTTTCTCACCATGCGCTGATCGGCTTGTACCCTGTGAATCTCCCACCTCTCCTTCACCTGATCTTCCGCGAGAGTCAACATGGCATCGGCAGCTGTGCGAAACGGCAGCACTGCCAGCGCCCTCAATGGGGGCGTGGTAGGAATCACACCTGCGTCACGGTTTGCCGACATCCCCTCTGCGATCGATATTCCCGTGTCCGGCGGGCTGGACGCCGATGAAGCGGTCGAAGTCAATCTCGAAGATCACCTCGACGACCCTACGGAGCTCTGTCAACTCTTGGAGAATGAGAAAGCTGCTAAAAATCTATGGATCACAATTGCTTTGGCATACGCCAAACAGGCGCAATTCGACCACGCAATTGAAATCTTGGTCAAGGGCATGGGTTCTCTGTCAAGAAGCGGGCCCAAGGAACGTCTGAGCCTCCTGGCATGTGTGGCCTGGTTGAATCTTCTCAAGAGCAGACAAGCCCCCCGTGTATTGCCAGAAAATCCAACCTCGAGCGACGTGAAAACCAAAGACCATTATCTCCGAGAAGCCACCGCCGCGATCAACGATGCCCTTCGGATCAACCCTGCCTTCCCTCCACTGTATCTCACCAGAGGCGTTCTCTTCCTCCTTCGAGCCTCTTTGCAAGCCTCAACCAAGGCTGGGTCAGATGCTGAAAGAGCCGAATCTCTTAAACAGGCACTAAAATGTTTCGATGACGCACTGAGAGCCTCAGAGGGTCGCAATATGATGGCAGCGATTGGAAGAGCTAGGACACTCTATTTGCAGAAGCAGTACGGTTCAGCATTGCAGGTATACCAAGATGTGCTCGCTAAAATGCCCGGTCTCACGGACCCTGATCCTCGGATAGGCATTGGCTGCTGTCTGTGGCAGTTAGGATACCAGGACAGGGCGAAGTTGGCTTGGGAACGATCGCTGGCACTGAATCCCGATTCAAAAATTGCACATGCTCTGCTGGGGGTGTATTATCTCCACGAAAGTGCCAAGTACCCTGCGTCCGACCCCCAGTTCAACGCTCTTTACAAAAAGGCGATGATCGACCATACAAAGAAAGCCTATACTATCGACAAGAGCTTCCCGCTCAGCTGTGCAACATTTGCTAGCTATTTCCTCCTGACTGGCCGCTACGAGACCGTGGAACCTTTAGCGCGAAAGGCCATCGAACAGACCGACATCAACGCGATCGCTAGTGACGGTTGGTATTTGTTGGCGCGAAAGGAGCATAACAAAGGCGATCTGCCAAAAGCGAACGACTACTATAACAGATCGGATCAGGCACGAGGCGGATTGGATCGAGGCTACTTCCCTGCGAAATTTGGTCTTATCCAAATCATGGTCCAGACCCAGGACATTCAAGGCGCCAAGTTTCGACTTGAAAACCTCTCTCAAATCAACAGACATGTGGAAGCCATGACGCTGCTAGGTTGTCTATATGCTGAAGAGGCATTCTCGACCCAGAGCACGGCGAGCAAAGATGACAAACAAGCAACAGCGCGAAAGGCCATACAACTGCTCGAGAATGTTCGCAAGACTTGGAAGGACGAAAAGATTCGGAACAAGCCCGACGAGTCGGTTCTGCTCTACCTCGCGCGTCTGTACGAGCTCGAAAATCCGATTGAAAGCCTAAAGTGTCTTCAGACAGTTGAACAAATGCAGCTGGAGAAGATTCCGGACGAGGACAAACCAGACCCAGCTGAGGAAGAAGCAACATACATTGCTCAGTTGCGCGAGAACCTCCCTCCGCAACTTTTGAACAATATGGCATGCTTTCTATATGGGCAAGAGTCATACTCCATGGCTCGAGAGACATTCCAGATTGCGCTCAATGCATGCGTAAGACTCACAGAAAAGCAGGAGGCTGAAAAGAAGGCAGTGGAAGAAGAAAAGATCAATGCTGAGGATGTCGACAACAGCGACACCGATGCTTTGGTGACTACGATTTCATACAACCTGGCCAGGACCCTGGAGGCATTGGGTCTTATAGAGGAGGCTCAGAAGGTTTATGAAGGTCTCCTTGCTCGACATGCCGACTATACAGATGCTTCCGCGCGCTTGGCATTTATAGCCCTGGAAACATCACCGCGAGATGAAGGGCCACGAAAGATCCACGCAGTGTACCAAAACGACTACGGCAACACTGAGGTCAGGGCCTTGATGGGCTGGTACCACCATAGTGCCAAGAAGAAGACTGCCAATATTGCAGAAGATACCGAGAATCGCCATTATAAGCACACCCTGCAAGGCTACGACAAGCACGATCTTTACTCTCTCGTTGGAATGGGCAACATTCACCTCACAATCGCAAGAGATATGCCCCGAAATACGGACCAAGAAAAGGAAAAGCGCAGCAAGATGTACGCCAAAGCGTACGAGTTCTTTGACAAAGCGCTGCAACTGGACCCCAAGAACGCTTATGCCGCACAGGGAGTTGCGATCGCTCTGTGCGATGACAAGAAGGCATATTCCGATGCTCTACAGATATTCACAAAGGTCAAGGACACGCTACGGGACTCCTCAGTGAACACGAATCTAGGACATGTGATGACGGAACTTCGGCAGTATCAACGCGCCATCGACAACTATGAGATCGCCCTGAGAAAGGATGGTAAGGGTGAAAACGCCCAGTTGTTGGCGTGTTTGTCGAGGGCATGGTTGTTGAAAGGCAAGGCTGATAGATCCATCCCTGCCTTGAACACTGCTCTCGACTACATGAAGCGCGCCTTGGCCACTCAACCAGATTCTCCCCATCTACAGTTTAATGTGGCTTTCATTCAGTTCCAAATTGCACAGCATGTGAACCAGGCCAAGGAGACAGACCGAACACTTGAAGATGTGGATGCTGCCATCACCGGCCTCGAGCAAGCCATCGAAACCTTTGAACAAGTTGCTCGGCATAAACAACCGCCATATCCCAGGACAGCACTTGAACAACGTGCTGCCATGGGTAAAAATACCATGAGAAACCAACTGGAGCGCCAACGTGTGAGGCAGGCCGCTTACGAGACCGAGAATGCCACCAAGCTCAAAGAAGCCAAGGAGAGGCGGCAGGAGGAGCTGCGTAAACGCGAGGAAGCGGCGAGAAGACGCCGACAGGAGGAAGAGGAACGCGCACAGAGAATTGCAGAAGAACGGCGAAAGATTGTCGAGGAGACGGAGAGAATTGCCGAACAGATTCGGGCTGAGGCGGCAGCAAGAGAAGCCGCCGAGTATACGGACGACGAAGAAACCGGAGAGCGCGTGAGGCGGAAGAAGAAACCTAAGTCTGGGGGTAAGCGGAAGAAGCGAGACGATGAAGATGGATTTATTGAAGATGACGAAGATGGGAAGAGTGAACGAAGCGTATCGCGCACTCCAATGAGTGGATCAGACAATGAAGCTCCAGCGGAAATGCCAAAGAAGAAGAAGCGAAGGTTGGAGAGGAAGAGCGCGGCAAGAGAGACTCCACGGCGAAAGAGCGACAAATTCAAGTCTGCGGCTGTTGTGGTGGACTCGGACTCTGAACTGGAAGACGAAGCAAGCGCTGTTGCGACCCCAGAAGAAGCCACCGCCGATACACCTGCATCTGAAGTTGCTGATCTGGATGAAGAGATGCAAGGGTTACGCGACGAGCCAGAAGGGGATGATCAGTCTCAACCGAAACCGCCGCCTAGACAACGCAAGCAACTACGCACTATTGCCGACGATGACGACGACGAGGACGAGGATGAGGATGCTTTCAATGCCGGCACCAATGGTCATGCGGACTCGGCGGGAGTGTCTACTGAAGCCGGTCTTGAAGATGATGACGAGTAGGCATCAGAATCTTCCAAGTTCTCAGAGTCTTCCAAGTTCATGTATCTCGATATTTCCACTGATTCGGCATGACGTTTGTGAAGGGACTTCTAGTAAAAGTGTGCTTTCTCCACCACTGCTTCTCTTGTATGTACCTCTTGACTTTTGGAGACTACCCTATGCCGCCGTGGTGGGATGATTGGGTTTCTACAATGTATAACATCATAGCACCTTCTATTCCGCTAATGAAGTCAGTAGCTGGGGCATAAGACCATGTAGCATTTGGACCGGGAATTTTTGTAGCTGCGATTGAATCACTTTACCAGATGAGTCGTTGAGTTCGCTCTGATCAAGGGAGAGATCTGCTTAGCACGTAGCCTCGTGCAAAACACCAGTCACTGCTCGGCTTGGCAAGGCTGTGCGACAATGACTTGGTTGCCACCAATAATAACGTCACATGGTTCGAGTCATTTGCTGTTGCCAGCGCACCTTCTACAAGGCACTGTTCATAAATCTGTCGCCGCACATCAAGGTGGCTTCTTCGGATGTGTCGTGAGATAACGACTTCATGGCAACTTCACAAGCCAGTCAGGCCCTCATTAGACGGTCAGCTGCGGACGATGTCGCCCTTATGCCCCCGCCCCCCCTCAAGCGGATAAAAAGACCACCAAAAGTTCTGGACGAGGATGAATACACCCAGGCGCTATCCGACATCATCGCCCGCGACTACTTCCCCGGTCTGCTCGAAAGCCAGGCTCAACACGAGTACCTGGCCGCGCTGGACTCTGGAAATGAAGCTTGGATTGTGGAGGCGGCGCAGAAATTGAGACAGGCAGCAGCGCCGGCAACGGGCAGCAAGAGAAGGTCAGCGCGGAACACTCGGTTTGACAGGACCCCTTTAGCAACGCCCCGAGTGGCGCAAGATACGCCGGTTGGGTACACCGGGAGTGAGACCCCCGTCACGGTCGCCGGGACAGAGGTTGAAGAGGTAGGAGAGGAGTCACGAACGCAACAACTGGACACATCGAAATACTCGCTGGGTTCTTTCCAGGCGAAATACACGTCCGAGGACAATGAATCATTCAACACTCTGCTCGACAAACAAAATCAAAAGCGCCGCGAAAAGCACGCCCACCTCTGGACCCAAGATCAACGACTCCTCTCTGGCCGACAAATCGCGTACCGTGCCCGCGAAGCCCAACTCCTCAAGGAGCGCGAAGAGGATGAAGCGGCGGGAAAATCTCTGGTGCCTATGACTACGGGGGCGACAGATGCCCGCGTCGCGAAACCGGACTCTTGGAAAATCAAGCGGCCCGACAACACTCTGATGTTCAATGCGACCTCCGTGGACGAGGACGGGCTACAGACGGTGCAGGAGGTCAAGGAGCAAATCTCCAAGGCCGGGCCAAAACACGTCGTCCACGCAAATACACGATTCCCGCCGATGCAGTACGTCGACGAACCCGGGCCCGTGCCTCCTTCCCCGTCCCTCAACACGGAAATCATTGCGCGGCGGACCACCCGCGGGATGCAGCGAGGGGACGGGGATTCTGCGACGACTACCGACTTCCCTGGAAGCGAAACTCCGCGTGTCAACGGCTACGCGTTCGTGGAGGAAGACGAGCCCGAAAACCTTGGTCAGGGGACCGACTCTTCGGCCCCCAGTTATCGCGACCTCTTGGCCGGCCAGGTCGGCGACGGCACGCCCAACCCGTTCAAGATCAGCGAGATCCGGAAGAGAGAGGATCTGCATCTGCGCATATTGGAGAAGCAGGCGAGGAGGAAGCGGGAGCGGGAGCGTGAGACGATGAAAACACCGGGACCGGCCAACTCTCTGTTTGGGGTCGGCGGGAAAACGCCCTCCACGGTGACAGGCGGCGGCGGCGACGGCAACATTACCCCGGCGGCGAGACGTCTGATGGAGAAGCTGGGAGGCAAGACACCCATGAGAGCCGGCCTCGGGCTCGAGAGCAGTGGAATCGAAGGAGTCGACGCAAAGAACATGTGGACTCCTGGACGGACTCCGCGGAGGCGCCATACTGCTCATTCTCATCCTCATCCTCATCATGCTGGAAAGTGAAATTTTGTGGACCAGCTTGTCTCCCCCTTCACGGCGTGCGGTTTGCGGTGCTGTGCAGTGTGTATACGACGAGTACCTACTAGGTACCTCCTAGGTACTAGGTACCAGGTACTACGGTAGGTAAGAAGTCAAAGTATAACCTACCTCAAATTTAACATGGTCGTCTTGCGCTCGCTCAGCTCATGCCCAATCCCATGTCCATCCATGGACCAAATAATCATATACCACACACCACACCACACCACACCATAATACACCATACCACACCATACCACAACATAATACACCATACCACACCGTAATACACCATAATACACAGGACCACACTATATTACACCATACCACACTACACCACACTACACCACACCATACCACACCATACTACACCATACTTACACTACACCACACCATACTTCCTCACGCTCTCTCTCTTTCTGACTGTCTGTCTCTCTGTCTGTCTACCCGTCTACCCGTCTACCTGTCGCTCTCGGCCCTCTCTGTGTGTCTCTCTGGACCTTACAACCCCTCTCACCTCGCCACAGCCACGACCACCGACCACCGACCACCACCCAAAAAAAGGGCGCGAGGCACACGAGGCACACAGGAGACACATACGGTGGGGAAGAAATGCTGATGATGGCTTAGAAGACATGGGGATACAGAAAGGCGAAGCACGCAGCATGGCATGGCACAGCACTGCTCAAGGCAAACTACGCAAAAAAAAAAAAAAAAAAAGAGGGAAAGGGGCAGTGAATCAACCTAGACCAGTTCAGCCCGGCGCCCTCTGGATTCTCTCTCTCTCTGTCCGGTGTCTGGTAGTCAGGGCGTCCTGTCACAGCGAGCGCTGAGCGGACACAAGAGAGAGACGATCGCCAGGTGGGCAGACAGAGGGAAATCCCACTCAAAAATTGCAAAAAGACGGTGAAGTGAAGTGAGGTGAAAATGGGGTGAATTTGACAGTTTGCCTTAGGCATCTATGCTTTGGTCTTCTTTACTCCACTCTGCTTGCCTATGTTCGCCTACCTGCCAACGGTTGCCTTTTTAGGGTCTCTGACACCTGAATGGTCCGATCTTGTTCTGTCCTGATTCCGGGAGAAAAAGAAGGAGAAGGAGGGGAAGGGAAATGGGATTTTGGAAATTCGGTGTGCCGACGCTGTTATGGACCCTGGCTGGCTGGCGCAGTGATGGCCTGTACTGGGGTCCTTCTATCATCTTGTCCCTTGATTCTTGTCCTTCGCCCTCCCCACATCGACTATCTTGCCCGACTTCGTACTCATTCTGAGCGTCTCCTCCGTTGTACTTCTGGCTGCGGTCAGCTGCGAAAAGGACCAACAGAGGGTGCCAAAGGCAAGGGGTGAACCAGGCACCCAGATCGGCCCAGCAGGTACAATGGCAGACTGCGGCGAATCGTGCAAGGTCCAAACACAAAAGAGTCAAATAAAATAGCCACGCAGCCAAGCGGAGACGACGGACAAGAGAGAAAAAAGCAGCACAGGCAACTGTGAAAGTAGACATGAAAACGGAAATGCCTTATCCCAGACCTGGCTCCTCATTCGTCAGGTCGTAAGACAAAAGGGGAAGAAAAGCCTCTCCATCCCAAGACAGTGCGAAGAAACAAAAAATCAAAAAAAGGGGATAAATGATGATTACGGGAAAGTGCAAAGGGAACAACGCTCCGCTGTCCGCTTCCAATTTCCGATGGCTGAGAATTTGGAAAACAACCGGGAGGAGTTTCCCTAGTTCTGAGATACTGCTGAGGGCAGGAGTCGACAAGCGAGAAAATACCAAAGCGGGCAGAGGGGATGGTGTCCCATTCCGAAGCGACATGGACAGAGGGGCTGAGTGGTTGTGCGCTGGTGCCCGGGTCCTCTCGTTGCCATCGCGGGCTTCTGATTCACTGGAGAAAGTCCCGCAGGCAGAACTCGGAACTCTCAGAACTATCGCCTGTCAACTCTTGACGATCTGGGGCTTTTCATGGGCAGGGCAAGTGGTTGTTTGCAAGTTGCAACCCTGGTGACGTCTTGGCCGTTCCAACCTCATCACAGATGGACCTTTGGCGAGCCTTCATTTTTGTGAATCCCTTCAGGCCGACCGCGTCTACCTCTTCCCTTTTCCTTGCCAAAGTTTGTAGAAGACTTTCGCTCCACGTAAAGTGTGTCGTCTGTACCGAGTACTTTCCGCAAGCGATGCGGCTCTGTCATTTTTTCCTCCAATCCGTGCTTGACCGGTTAGAGCTAGGAAAAGACATGCATAAGAAAAGCAGGTAGCGTTGGCTGCTAAACAGCAACTAGACTCAATTGTCTTCACCGGTCTGCATCGGCAACCGCGAACATCCCCAGAGAGCATTGCACAATGACAGGACATGTGAGGCCTGTGACGCGTCAAGTTTAACCCCGCGTAACCAGTCTGGCAACTCTAATAGCCACTTTCTAAACTAGCTTCAAAGTCCTTTGGACACTTTGGTGGGTAAGCGAAGATAGGCAAAAGACTTGGTCTAGCGACAAGCAGACCGCTACTAGTGTGTAGACATAGCGACACATGGTGTTTTCCAGGACGCAGGCGGCTCTTCTGCTCCTGGTCACTCTTTGGGGGGGTCTCGATCATTCGGATTCTCCAGCGTGCTAGTGTGATTTCTTGAGGGGTGCCCCGAGAGAATGGTCTCGACTCTCGTGGGTATCTTGAATAACAATCCTCGTACTGGCCAAGGTCCCATAAATGACCCAGCCGGCAATGGCAGTGCTGCGCTTCAAAGACCAAGATGTCCATGGATGTTGGGAGATGCATGAGACCATCCGAAATTCAACTCAAGTAAAGCTGTCTTGTCTGATTGATTGGCTGTGTCTGCAACTTCTTTCTACGCCATTGACCTGATGGTGGGTGCGCCCTAGGCCAAGTCAGCTGCAGGTTCACCATGTTTTTAGCTGCAGACTTGTTCGCTTGC